TTTTTTTTTCTTCCAGATTGATCAACCTTGCATTCCATGTATAGGAGAATGTTCTAGATTTGGATGTGAAATTGGCTGCAACACTGCCCAGAGTGTTCAGAAAACATTTACTCTCTCCAATATCACCCTGCCATCAAAGACATTAACTGTGAATGAAACAGGCCATGAGAGTCAACAAATTATTTCTTACTATCTTACAGGTATATGAGCTTAATTAATCTGTAGTTTGTAAATTGAATTAAGTTGAGAAGACCATCCAATCTGTAACCTGTTTGATTAAAATATTCAGAGAAATGAGGAACTTTTGCTTTACTCCCAGAAATGTTTTTCTAACTTATAGGCAAGTGACCGATATGGCCTGTGGACCTCTTGTTTTATTCTTAGAATATAAATATTTTGAGTAAACAAATGTTATTTATTTCCAGTGAGGAGTATAACAGGATCAGGGCACATTGCTGTAGCCTCCTCTAATGGTTTCTATGTGGATGACACTCCTCCTGTGTTTGATCCAGATGTCATGACAAATGGATTCTTCTATTACGATGTAGGACAAGGAGAGAATACACCTGTCAAGTTCCAACAATCCAATGACACAATCAAATGTATCTGGAAATGTGAAGATAAAGAAAGTGGAATTGTGGTATGCAAAATTAAGGCCTAGCTGATCTTTTTAGTTTCAAAAGAGGGGGTGGGTGTTTTTAGGAAAATATCATTGAAAAATTATACATCTAAAACAATGTTTAAATTTTTTTTAAAGGAAAACTTCTGGGCCATTGGAACCACACCAGGTGAAACAGACATTCAGAACTTTACATCCACAGGACAAAATATAACAGGAGTCAATAGTAAATTGGGTGGAGTCTTGAAAGATAACCAGACATACTATGCAAGCTTTACTTGTACCAATGGAGCAGGACTGAATGCAACCTTCATAGATACTGGAGGTGAGTATGAATCAGATTCTATTATGGAGCTGGTATTTCAACACCCCTATGCAGAGACTTTATTTTAAGTTTCCTCCAGGTGTCATAGTGAAGCTGATCCCACCAGAAGTTGATATGATAAACACCACTATACCTGGAACCTCTCACTTCACCGAGGAAGTCAACCCTAAAGATTCCCTCCAGCAACAGGACCCCACCTCTATTGGATTCACTTTTACTAAGTCTGAAGATCCTTCTGTCAACAGATATGGTAAATTGATTGAAACCACTTAAAATGGGGGCATATAATTGAGCATATGGTAGTACTGTCTATATACCTCCTTAAAACTGGGGAGAGGGGGGTTACCAAACTTGTCTGCAAATCCTCCTATACCATCGAATAGAATTGAGTAAGACTTTCAAATAATCTTCAATACATTGTACCATTGTTCATATTCAACTGAAATGATAGAAAAACAACATTTCTTAAAATTGAGGCAATAAGGTGTAATGATTAGCATAATATTATATGAAGATGTTTACGAGTCAATCATCATATTGCAAGCACTTGTCAAGTAAACAGCTCTGCATGTACTAAATTATTAGGGAAAAAGAGACTGGTAACACTCCTACAAATATCGGGTAAAAATTAAAATCGTTATTTATACACTGCTGGGCTCTTGATGTCTTTGCTTTTCAATTAACTTTAATGATTTTTCATGTCTTGATAGCAAAGAAAATGTGAAATCTTTTGCAGATCTATGTGTTGGATCTGAGGTAGAAACTGATGATATCTTTCCATGTACCTGGGTGGGCTACAACATGTCTGGGTCTGCAGAAATCAAGAATGGATCTCTGTGGATTGATGGAAATGAAGTCAGAAAACTGTCTGAATTAAAAAGATACCAAGATTTCACCAACATAACCAACTCCTCCTCCAATAGTTTTACAATGCCAGTGGGTCAGCAAATGTTTGTGACATTGAGACTCTGTAATGAGGCAATGCTGTGTAATAACAAGAGTCTGGGTGTAGTGGTCATTACCAACAGTAATTCTGTGGTAGCTACATCTACCAATGGTAGTGCCATAGAGGAGAAACTGTCAATCACCCGCAGGAAACGAGCTTTAGCAGAAGTGGATATAAGAACACCAAGTGGTGAGTCCTTTACAGCAAAATTGTTGACCACAAGAAAGATCATTAACACACAATGCCCCTTTTACCATTTGTACTTTTTATACCTCCCTCCCTTTGCAAAAAATAGATATCTGGCAGGAATATAATTATCTCTTTTTTTCATTTTATAGGACTACCAGATGGACAGGCAATAATTGTAACTAAACTTAGTGCTCCTGATCTCACAAAAGATTACCGCTCTGATGCCTCTATAGATTTTGTGTCATACATACAGAATCCAGCCACATCTATGGATATGGTGGACAGACTGCTTTACAAAAGGTATATTTTTAGCTCACCTCAACGAAGTTGGGGGGAGCTTATGTGATACCCTCGGCGTCGGTGTCGGCGTCGGCGTCCCAGGTTAAGGTTAAGTTTTTTGGAGCAGTTTTCTTTTTAATTACTTCTGTGTCCTATACTGATTAGACATGCATGGAAGATGGTTTTAGTGTGTTTTATTGTACCAGACAAAGTTTCAGGATGCTGCAATTTCAGCAAAGGAATTACCAGGTTAATGTTTTTGGAGCAGGTTAACATTTTTGGTGCAGTTTTTGGTGTGGGTTTCATTTCCAAGTAACTATAAGCCCTATGTTGACCAAACTTGCATGGATGATACATCTAAGGATGCATACTACCGTGGTTGCTTCGGATGCTGAAACTGACCTACATTTTCCGGTTGAGTGAACAGGTTAAAGTTTTTGGTGTAGGTTTCATTTCCAAATAACTATAAGCCCTATGTTGACCAAACTTGCATGGATGATACATCTAAGGATGCATACTACCGGGCTTGCTTCGGGTGCTGAATCTGACCTACATTTTCCAGTTGAGTGAACAGGTTAAAGTTTTTGGTGCAGGTTTCATTTCCAAGTAACTATAAGCCCTATGTTGACCAAACTTGCATGGATGATACATCTAAGGATGCATACTACCGGGCTTGCTTCGGATGCTGAATTTGACCTACATTTTCTGGTTGAGTGAACAGGTTAAAATTTTGGTGCAGGTTTCATTTCCAAGTAACTACAAGCTCTATGTTGACCAAACTTGCATGGATGATACATCTAAGGATGCATACTACCGGGCTTGCTTCGGATGCTGAATCTGACCTACATTTTCCAGTTGAGTGAACAGGTTAAAGTTTTTGGTGCAGGTTTCATTTCCAAGTAACTATAAGCCCTATGTTGACCAAACTTGCATGGATGATACATCTAAGGATGCATACTACCGGGCTTGCTTCGGATGCTGAATCTGACCTACATTTTCCAGTTGAGCGAACAGGTTAATGTTGTTGGTGCAGGTTTCATTTGCAAGTAACTTTAAGCCCTATGTTGACCAAACTTGCATGGATGATACATCTAAGGATGCACACTACCAGGCTTGCTTCGGATGCTGAATCTGACCTACATTTTCCGGTTGAGTGATTAGTTAAAAGTTTTTGATGCAGGTTTCATTTCCAAGGAACTATGAGTTCTTTAATGACCAATCTTGCATAGATGATACATCTAATGATGCATACTTCCAGGCTTGCTTCGGATGCTGAATCTGACCTACTTTTTGTGGATGAGTGAAAAATGTTAGTTTTGATGCATGTTTCATTTCCAATAAACTATGAGCCCTATAATGAGCAAACTTGCATGGATGATACATCTAAGGATGCACACTAATGGACTTGCTTCGGATGCTGAATTGGACATACATTTTTCAGATAATAGACAAGGTAAAAGTTATGGTTGCAGGTCTATTACCAAAAACTATAAGGCTTATATAACATTGTATAAACCAAACTTGCACAAATGCTGCATCAAGAGATGAAAACTCTCAAATTTGCTTCAGATGCTGGATTTTCATTACATTTTCATGAAGAAGAAGTAGTTTAAATTTTTTATGTAGGTCTATTTCAAAGTATCAGATCAAAATTGCTTTTAAAAATATTTTCATTTTTGGAATGTATACTTTTTGTTGGTTAATTGTGTGACTTTGCCTTACTTAAAGACAACATTCGTTGAGGTGAGCTCTGTAATCCTATGTTTGTAGATTAGAATGTATATGAACCAATTTGTCTTTAAAATAGCTAGGCTAAGCTATGGAAGGTTTCTGAAATTAAGAGGTTTTGCAAACCAGCATAAATGAATTTATATAATTTATACTGCACAAGGTTTACTTTGCTTAATGACAATTAAAGAATAAAGTGTTGTAGGATCTGTACATGCTTTACTTTTGGAATTCCTCGGAAATAAATTGCATCCTTGTTTACTTATTAATTAAAATAAAACTTTATTACTTTGATGTCAGTATGTCAAAGCAACATAAATTTCATCCAATATAATCTGATGTTTTGTTTTTCAGTAAAACAACAACAACAAATAGACTAAGTGGGTCTTTATATACCAGGTAATAAAATCAACATTGGAAAATTGTATGAAAACATAAATCTGACCATTTGATTTTAGGTTCTATGGACAGAGCTTTGCTTTCTCTGTGGCTCCTCTGGGTAATGTTCCTATGCCAGGTCCCATGGTCATCACATACCCCGACAGTGTGGGTCACGTAACCACAGGAAACAGAACAATGCTACTGCACTGGAACCCAGGTTAGTGTGTTTGGAATAACATAGTACCTTTAAATATACTAAGTTGAACTAAAGTATTGAATATAAACATATTAGCATTGCTTTAGTTTAATAAGGGTAATTGTAGAGTGTTGTACATCAGTTAATTTTTCTTGTTGTGATATTAAGAAATGCAACTAACTATTCATAGTCTACAATTGCTGATAAAGGTTTATCAATAATGAGCTATTAGCTTTCATATGATGCAATAATATATTTCGGTTTACAGCATTTGTGCCGTTCATTTACTAGGTAGTCTTGCCCTACTCCTGCAATATATCAACATACTGAAAAAAAGATCTGAAGACCGATTGTTTCAGAGATTGCTTTGATTAACAAAAAATGCAAGATCTTTGTCAATGCTCCAATACCTGTATCTGTTTCATTACATTGCAGTTATGCAATATTGGGAGATTTCCAGCAGGACTTGTAAACACCTTCCTCCTGAAGAACAAGAAGTTTATGATGCTATCAAACAAACCATGGCTGTCAAGGTATTATGAAACTCCTAATCAATGAAGATCATTTGACTTTCCATTAAAGATCAAATTTAATGAAATCAAGAAACTATATTGATGATGAACGACATTTCATTTCATATCTATCATTGCAGATTTTTCATATCTAGCAAGAAGATCTTTATTTTAAAATAGTTTGTTTCAAACAGGCTATTTGCTTGCTTATAAAAAGTTGAAATAATGCTTCTTGGCATAATTTCTACTTGAAATTTGATTCAAGACCAAGAAATTAACATAAAAATACCAAGATGTGCTCAGAGCATCACAACTAGAATTTATCTGATTCCAAAGGAATGTATAATTGCATTAATTTTGGTATAAATTTGAGAATGTTTTGTAATTTGTTATGTGCATGTTCTAGGTGTGTAATACCTGGGCGAAAAATGACAATGATAAATCCAAGGAGTCGAGGAAGAGAAGATCTACAACAGAGACAATTAATTACTTTGGCAAGGAGACCATGTTCATTCTATCTATAACCAAGGCATCTATTCAGAACTCAGCACCTAAATTAGACAGTCAAACTGAGGTTCTCATAAAGGAAGACTCAGGTAAGCGTATTCCAATAACTTTTGTGCACAGGAAAGTTATTTAATAATTAAAGAGTTTTCAGGGGAAAACAATATGTGCAATAAATTTTAGAAATGTTGTACATGTATGAAATGTAACCCTATTAAGATGAATTGAAAACTCATCAAAAGTGATTATGATGAAGACGTTTGTATATGGAATATTAAAACAGACATCATGAATTTAATTTACAGGGACTCTGCATTACAAGCTCTCAGCTGCAGATGAAGAAGGAGATCACATCATCTTTTCCCTTTTAAATCAAACTTTGACTGGTGATGTCTTTCTGTCAGATAATGGATAGTAAGTGTTTTTTTCTTGATTGCCACCAAATAAACTTGAATTTTTCTACATCTTATATGTCTTTTCTTAAGTCTTCCCTCTAGAAAATATACAACAAAAATCTATATTCTGTATTCAAATGAATGAAAACAAATATTTACTTGATAATTTAAAAAGGCCAATATGCTTTTTTAAATAAATACATGAAAATCATTATTTTTCTTTAGTCTGGTTTATACTCCATGTGTGGACTGCTCTGGTGATGAAAGAATAGACATACTGCTTATTGAAAATCAGACCAACCCAGACATTCCAGTAGCCAGCACAAAAGTGGCCATAAACATCCACATCCAGCCAGTCAATGATTTTCCAACTGTGTTTTTGACTCTGAATGGTTCATCACTGCTGAGCAAAGATCCAACAGAAGATGTTATAGTACGTACATGTATCTGCAGGACAAACTAATAAGTTTGTTTATATCTGGAAGCAAATTGTACTATATGTATATGTTCATGGATGAAATGGAACTTCAATGATAAATATTGGTTACATCTTTAAATCCTTATATTTTTACTTTTCTTTATAGGTGTTACTAGAAGCAATCAATGACTTTACTACCAATGAAACAGGACTCTGGAAGGCCAGAGTTGGAGCATATGATGTTGAGAAAAGTGATACATTGAAATTGATAATATTTAATCCCTTCAATTTGAGCATTTCTGTGACTGGGGAAAATAAACAAGTGCCTCATTTCAGTGCAGACTGTAATAGAACAGATATATTTACAGTATGTATCATTGTTTTATAATATGAAATACCCATCCAGTTAAAGATCAGCTCCATAAGTCAAGAATTATGCATATTTAGTATCTCTTGTTTTCTTTGAGATTTTGCAGTATAATAGAGATGACTAACTAAGGCCAGAGGGTGGAAAAGTCAAGGTCATTTTTTTTCTTTTAAATTGAATATACATGTGTTCTTTTTTCTTTAGCCAACCATGATGCCATGTGCAGACTTCTCCAGGAAACTCCCACACGCAGCTTCTGATTTGACATGGTTGACATACATCGTCCAGTTTACACAGCCCAGGAATCAGTTTGGCAATTACACTTTTAGTTTCTATTTTGAGGACAGCTCTAATGGAACCTCTCCTCCTGTGAACATTAAATTTGGTATAATGGAGATGCCTTGTCACAACAGTGGAACTTGTCAAGGTTTGTCATAATGATAGAAGTGTGGATATTGTTGTGCATTTTTTCCTCAAATTATCGTATTTTATATCCAATGCAGAGAAGAAATAATTGGTTCCTTTGAGGAACAATTTTTATAGTCCATGCACTCTGCTTACTTAAAATTATAAAACATTTGGCATAAACCATGACCTATATTGGTGAAATTCTTAGCAATTGCTAAAAAATGTGTTTTTTTGGGGGGGGGCACATATTTTGTTTTTTCTTTGGTGAGGGGTATAAGAGATATAATACATGTATTAACTAGCTTTCATTTTGACTTACAGCCGCAGGAATCTACCCCTGTAAAGATACCCACAGGACTCACAGCTTTGATGCCTACTACAGATGTCAGTGTACCGGAGGATACCAGGGTACATACTGTACGGAGGACATCAATGAGTGCCTCAGTGACCCCTGTGAACCTCCCTTTGTCTGTTACAACAACCAGAACAGCTACCACTGTGCCTGTCCCTCAGACAATCCTAACTGTGAAATAGTTACATGGATGATAGTGGTCAGTGTGTTCATTGTGATCTTTATCCTAGTATTGATTGGTGTAGCTGTTTACAGATACAGGACACAGAGAATGTGAGTATAATTAAAGAATATATCCTTCAATATCTAGGGAAGTTGTAAATTAAGTATCCTTTTCAGTGAAGTTTTATCCTACTTTGATAGACATACTAAAGAATTACAAAATCAAGATGGAAAAATGAAAAAAAAAAACTTCATCAATATTTCTTTAACCTAGCCAGCAGAATTTTTGTATGTTTTGAATGACTAAAAGGCGGGATCCGGAACAGTTGATAAAAGTCTCCTTTATCATTTCAACTTCTTCTATTTACCCTCAATCTAAGATTACAAAATAAATTTATAATTATACTGCTACACTGAATGATATTCATAAAAGAATTTGTATCAATGTAAATTAAACAAGAAGTTTTATTTTCCCCCTTATATTTTTCAGGAAGAAGTATGTTTTAAAGTAAGTAGAATAGCTACATACAATTAATTGTTTCTATAAAATGTTCAGTTTCATTGACAGTCAATTTATGATTGCAAGAAAAATGACATTTCCATGGTACATTTGTATTTGTAAATGGGAAATATTATCAATCAAAACATTTTGATTTTATTAGACAAACTTCATTGCTGGTATGAAATTTTTGTTCTGATTACATATACATGTATTATGTCAAGTTAACTTTCTATGTTTGTTTTCTGCTTTTAGATAATGTGTTTTCAGCATTTTATACAATTAGTTATAAGTATTGTTCATTACATGTATTTTATTTTGTAGAAGAAGTTCTTCTGAAACATCTGTTCCAAGTATACTAGATCAAAATCAAGGTAAGTTTCACAAAATAACAAGAAATGTTAAACTTTGTAAAACACTGATCATGATGCCCCATATAGCAGCTTGTGGCAATGGTTCAGGTTTACATAAAATGTCAGTCAAACTCCAAATAAATGTCAAGAGGACTTGTCTTCAGAAAAATATGTGGAATTCGAAAACCCCAACACCAACCATTGAAGAGTCATAATCTTCCTACCTTCCATCTGTACTTGACCTTTCTTTTCTTTTTGCTTAATTTGTTCAAATGTCGATCATCCTTTGAATCTTGTAAACCTCATACAATACAACTGTATCTGATATGATCTCTGTGAAAGCATTTCTGCATAAGAACATTTGTTGCCATTTTAATTTCAGACAACAATGTTCTTTTCTTATAATATTGTAAAAACAAATTAATTAGTGAGCCAGGCATTCATGTCATGAAGACATTTTCTGTTGCTTTCAAGAAAAAAAGTATTAGGCAACTATTCTGTCAGTAAATACTTTTTTGATCTTGTATAACCACTAAAAAAATTTTATTTGCAGATGAATTTACAGAATCAGAAGAGGAATTAGTAAGTGTGGCTTTAACAGAAATTTTTAAATGTAAAAATTGGTATAATCAAGTAACTTCTGTGGAGAAAAAAATATGCTTATGTATATCAACATTGTATTTGTAAGTCATCTTTCAGGAACATCCACTTCAAGCAGGAGAGAATATTAATCACTTCAATGTACAACCTCCTTTCCCTGTAAGTTAGTGCTGCTGTAAAGCATATAATTTTCTATTGTATAAAGTGCATTTATGACATGCATTATTAACTAAATTTTACTTTACAGGACCAACAGAAAAATGTTTTCCGAGCAGTTTCTCTTAGTGAGGACATCTGTCAACCTAAACCTGGACATGAATATAGTAATCAGGATTTGTCCAAGTGTGAATTTGTGAATCAGGCATTTGATGAAGAGGATGACTCCTTTTCTGAAGAAGAAGAAGATGACAGTCAAGATATTCCCCGAGATGAATATGATAATCAGGCATATTCTGAAGATGAGGATGGGAGTCAGGGTTTTCCTGAAGATGAGGATTCTGCGGAACAGGTGGAGAATGGAAGATATGATGAAGGGGATGAGGACACTGATATTTCTGTAATGGAAGATGATTTATCTTTTGTGCATCCCCCACCAGTAAGTAAAAATGGAAACATGAGGGGCCTTAAATAATGTTATTTTGGCAAACCTTGACTTTGGATCTATCCATTTTAAGTGATGTTCGTAAAACACATTTTCAAAACAGCTAATTTCATCTAAACTTGCCATAAATAAGAATTTTACTAGGATAAAATTTATTTGATATATAAAAAAAACCAAGAACTTAAAAGGTCATTTATTTAAAAAATATATAATTTTATGAAGGTCCCAGAAGAGGGTGTGTTTTGGGCATTTGCTCAGAATAAAGGCGCATGTCAACTTTTTGCCAACAAAGAATCTGAAGATCATGCTGATGCTCCCTCTGATGATGAAACAATATTTGATAATGATGATGATGACATAGAAACTTCATTTATTGAAGATGACGAGTCTTTTGTACATCCCCCACCAGTAAGTAAAAAGTGTATAAATCACAAGTCTTTTGAAATCTGGAGGTGGAAGACATTAGTTTTGTATGTCTTACAAGAATATTGTTGGTATGACTTTTTTTTTTAGCTTTATTAAGCTTTAATTTGTCTTCCTTTGCCCACACTGCTTAACAATTAACATAATCAAGATAATTTTTTTTAGAATGTCAACTACCCAACACATGCTGTGGAAATAGATGATAAGTCTTTTGTACACCCTCCCCCAGTGAGTAAATGTTGTAAAAATCACAGCTATATTAAATCTTAATTTTTCTTATACTTGAATCTGACATAAATGTGAAAAGACAATACATGCCTTATATTAATTTCACTTGCATGCACATCAGAGTACACAACTGCATTTATTTTCAGAATTTCAACTATCATTCTGAAATTGAAATGCAGAATATGAAGAAATTTTATCAGCGTCATACAAAAACAACTTTCAAGCCGCTCGTTCCAGCTGTATATGACCAAAACCAATCCTCACAAAATAGAGGATTGACACCAAGATTAAGGGGGAGACAAACTGGACGATCTCCATCCAGGGTTTTGTCAGCTGGTCCTTCTGGTAGGAAGCACATCGGTGAAAATCTACCCATCTCACCAAAAGGTAAGGAAAAGAGGAAGACAACAATGGATGGTAGATTACATTCCCCCATAGCAGCGGAGGCAGAGAGTAAGACAGAAAACAAGACACAGGGACCTGTTGATCCAGACCAGGTCAATTCTGAACCTGCACAATTATGTGTCTTTGTAGAGGACACCAGTGATGAACAGTCTGTGTGAAAAGAACTTAAGTAACCTTGACAGACCTGAACTCTTATCTTTGATTTGAGTAATTCTCTTCTTTGTAATAGTCAATTATTAGTTTTGCTTTCTTAATATTTTGCATCTCTAATTCATCATATTGTACAATGTTATTATAGTTGTTTGAAAATGTATAGCTTTTGAAAGATATTACCCACTTTTATTTTCTTTTCAACACTGACTATGCATCTTTATTTCTTTGTGTGAAACTTAAAATAAAAAAATTATTTTAATGTTTTATTTTAAATATGTATAACAATGTAATTTAGCCATTACAAGCTTTGAACTGCTATGGCCCTTTGTTTGGATTTCAAGGTTAAAGACTCTCTCTCTCTCTCTCTCTCTCTCTCTCTTCATCATACACACACACACACACATACCCTTTCACACCCTCACCCTCTACACAAACACACACCCTCCCTCCCTCACGTACAAACACAGATAATAAATTAAAAATATAATGACATATTTTGAGATTTGGAGGTACAGAATGCAAAAATAGTACAACAATGTAATACAATTATGTATTATCGTTTCTCAATACAAAGGGCAATCGCAATAAAGTGTAATATAAAATGATAATTTGAAATAATACTAAAACACAATTGAGATATAACATGTACATATAGGTTATTAATACAAATCACTGAAGATGATACCGATTGATAACTTGAAAGAAATAGACATCATATTACTGTACTTCATATTGTGATCATTTGTTATATAATCGATTTTCATAGTATTTATGTATGCATTAGACCTGAAGCATACATTATAAAGACATGCTTTCGAAATACAGAACTTAAGAGAATATTTTATTTAATTAATCATGCAGTTGAATGTTGCTTTTGTCCCATTCGAGAATTTTTCACGCATATAGAGTGATCACCGCATTCCGTTGAAGGGCAATTGAGCTCTTTGGGTTCTTTATTGCGCCAACGCCTACCATGACACGGAACCCCAGTTTACAAGTCTCAAAAATGGTAAGGGATAACTTTCATTATGCTTAGGAAGAATAAGAGTACCGAATCCCGTAGACAATGAGTACAAGGACACCTAAGACGATTGAAACGATCACAAATGTCTTTGCTTTTTGGGCATTGGAAGAGGCACCTGCGAAATCTCCTTTTCTTTCTGATCGTTTGGCCTGAAAATATTAGAGATGTATATTAAAAGAAAAAGTATATATTTAAGAAAACATACTGCAATTATCCTTTTTAGCTCACCTGAGCTGAAAGCTCAAGTGAGCTTTTCTGATCACATTTTGTCCGGCGTCCGTCTGTCTAGCTGTCCGTCTGTCTTTCCAGCTGTCTGTCCGTCTGTCTGTCTGTAAACTTTTCACATTTTCGACTTCTTCTCAAGAACCGCTGGGCCAATTTCAACCAAACTTGCCACAAAGTATCCTTGGGTAAAGGGGATTCAAGTTTGTTCAAATGAAGGGCCACGCCCTCATTCAAGGGGAGATAATTGGGAATTAATGAAAATTTTATGGCATATTTTAAAAATCTTCTTCTCAAGAACCACTGTGCCAGGAAAGATGAAACTTATGGGGAAACATCCTCAGGTAATGTAGATTCAAGTTTGTTCAAATCATGACCCCCGGGGGTAGGGCAGGGCCAAAATGGCCGACCAAAGTTTTACATAGAAATATATAGGAAAATTCTTTAAAAATCTTCTTCTCAAGAATGACCTAGCCATAATTCATCATATTCATATGGAAGCCACCTCAGGTAGTGTAGATTCAAGTTTGTTCAAATCATGACCCCCGGGGGTAGGGCGGGGCCAAAATGGCCGACCAAAGTTTTACATAGAAATATATAGGAAAATTCTTTAAAAATCTTCTTCTCAAGAATGACCTAGCCATAATTCATCATATTTATATGGAAGCATCCTCAGGTAGTGTAGATTCAAGTTTGTTCAAATCATGACCCCCGGGGGTAGGGCGGGGCCAAAATGGCCGACCAAAGTTTTACATAGAAATATATAGGAAAATTCTTTAAAAATCTTCTTCTCTAAGATAGAAAATCCATGATTGTTCATGGGACTACTTTGGATTTTACTTTTTCAATAATAAACCAATGTATACTTTTACCTAGCTCCAGTGCTCAGGTGAGCGATGTGGCCCATGGGCCTCTTGTTTTAATTTCCGATTTTTTACACATTTTCCCGATTTATTCGGTAAATGTTAATCGTTATTAAGCATGGAAGCTCTAAATCAAACACAATCATCACATTGAAGGAAACTGTATGAACTTACCCTTGATGAATACATAATGGCGAAAAGTCCGGTAGGCCAAAAACAGAACAAACACACAAGGACTGATGGAACCAACCAATAAGTGTGGTGAGTCTTAGTCGCAGGAACCACGTCAGTCGGCTGTGTAACCTTAAAGTAAACTTGTAATCTTAGAACTGCTTATTATCTTTTAAGTAAACCGTTCATTTAATTATTAGATAAAATCAACCCATAAAATGGGTATGCTAAAAATGGAATGATTTTGAGAATACTAACAGACGAAAGATTTTCGGACGCTGTGATACTTCATAGTTTATACATTGCCTGAAGAAGTTTCATTGAATCTTTAGAATAATTAAGAGTCCTCACCATTACGCCTTGTGGTGGGGGTATACTGTAGATTTGACCATGGGTATAATTATATTGCATGTTGTACCCATTTAGCTCAGACACGTTCGGTTGCAGGGTATAGTGAATGGGCCCTCCTGGTTTATCAAACTGCATATCATACCCTGTATTACCATTACCATTGTTCAACATGTTTATATCTTTGTCTAAAATCTGCATAAGAAATCAGATGGAAATTAAATCAGTTTTCTGACGACATTTTATTATTTTATGGAAATCAATTTGATAATGAAAATTTAGCCATTTCAAAATATAGATTTTAGGATACAAGAAATGGAGTAGGTGGTAGTCGTCTCATGCACGTTAAGATATCGAACAAATAGAATGCTAGTATATTTTATATTTGACCAAAAAGAAAAAAAATAACTTATTTTTCTAATTTATTTGTTTGTTCTCATTTTTGTAACATGGTGCTTTGCATAGGAAAAACCCTTTAATCTAGATTTTCCTGGCATTTAAAATATATAAATCGTTTTTTTAAAAAAAGCCTGGGAAACGTTCGATGTTTCGGACTAATCAACCTCGAAAAAGGACTGGCTAAAATATATAATGATATAAGAAATGGTGAACTATTTTTAAAAAACACCGTCTAATTAGAAGCTTTTGACCATTTGGACTAAGAGTTTTTTTATACCATTACGCCTGGTGGTGGTGGTGGTGGTGGTATACTGTAGATTTGTCCCTGAGTAGAATTATACTGGATGCCGTACTCAGGTGTCTCCGACACGTTCGCATGGTTGGCATCGTGATTGGTTTCTATTTGTTTATTTAACTGCTCATCATACCCAGTGTTGACACATCCATCGTTCTTCATTTCTATATGTTTATTCATGAAATCTAAAAAAATAAAGTATTTTAATTAAAATCAGGTTTTAACGAAAGCCCAATGAGCTCATTTTCGTAGGTAAGAAATTTTTTTTTTGCGTTACGTATAAAGCGAAACTTTTGCGAATTAATGCGTAACTTTCGCGTTATAACGCGAAACTTTCGCGAATAAACGCGTAACTCGCGTTATGACGCGAAACTTTCGCGATATAACGCGTAACTTTCGCGTTATAAAGTGAAACTTTCGCGAATAAACGCGTAACTTTCGCGATATAACGCGAAACTTTTGCGTTATAACGCGTTACCTTCGCGATATAATGCGAATAAACGCGTTTTTCCGCGTTATTCAGACCTATTTACTCTTACGATTTCGTCGTATTTTGTACGGATTTTTAGTCTAAAATATGTCTCACGTTTTGCTATTATGAAAATACGGAATTCGGAAATACATTATTTTGGAATTAAAAGTTAGTTTTCGTTATGATCTGTCTTAGTTTCACCCTTTTTATCGCTAAATACGAGAAAGATTTCAAACACATAAGTGATGTCAGGTTGCCAAAACGCTGTGGTATTATTAAATGACAAGGACCTTGTTTTTGTAATCAGAAAAGCAGTGTTTCTCTTTTAATATATGTAAAATTGATGGAAAGTGAAATCTTACTGACAAATGCCAAATCTCACGGACAAATCTAATACAGAATACTGAGAGAAAGAGTTATGGGTAAACAGATCTGGTTATTTCGCAAAAAAATATTATGCGAGATTAGGATAGATTAGTCTTCAGAATATTTTATTTTATTTTAAAACCTTTCTTTTGAATAAATAAAATGAATTTTACTTTCTTGTACATGTTTTTCCATTGTTAAATTCTTTAGACTGATTATTTCTTAAGGAAAATCTCCACTCGACATTTTTTTTCTAGCTGTAGTAACATTTAGTACAACTGTACCACTAGAAAATTAAGCAATCAATCATTTTGGGCAAAAAAGTTATACACTGTAGCAACATAACTTGAAAGTAAATGAACAATGTATAATTTCATTGTCTCCAATATTTTTATTTTAGGTTATAGAGAAGTTCGTGGACTAACCATAAATAAAAACTATGAAGATATACAGTTGAGTTTGTACACTTTGAATTGTCAATGTTTTCGTAAGCAATGGATTGACAACGTGGTGCAACCTCAAAATAGGATATCGAATTTCCACAGTGAATCCAGCGGAGACAAATGAAAGTCTGCTATCCAATTTTCAAAAATGCGGTGGGACACAATTGACAAATTTACCACATTTTGTCAATTTTCTGAGATCTTGATCTCTATATAATAAATTTTTTTCAAATTCTCTACAGAGTGCATAAAAAACAGGAAAGGGGTGATTTTCCCCGAAATTAAAGCATATGAGCTGCATTTTTGAGAATTTTATTTTGCTGGTAAAATGTGATATTATGATTAATCTTATGTAATCTAAACCCTTATGATCAATAAAACCAAAATAAAGTTTTAAAATGTTTCAGAAGAATTTTTTGTACAACCGAATATACAGTATTTAATAAAAAAAAAATCATTATTGTACAGGACGAATATAATTCAATTTTGCTTTAATCAACGCGTATAAAAAGTTCTTTCATAGCAAATATGACCAACAGAAGTTTATAAATGTTCTATTTTTCAGTCATTGAAATGGTTTATTACAAATTTGCAACATTTTTTTCCGATGTCAAACATGCAGCTCATATTGCTTTAATAATCTTGAAGTTTAACTTTTAGAAAACTCGCATAAACTTTGAATTGTTTGAACAGCGTTGAGAAAGACAAATTGTGACAGTTAAGATGGATTCAACAGCAAGAAAGCTTAAAATTTAACTTGTAATAGTCTAAGATCAAAATAGCCTTTTGATTATCATTGAAATGAATAGAATTGATGACAAAATCAAAAGAACGCTGAGACTAAAGCAAATGTCTGGTAAAACAGCAAAAGTTTCGCGTTATAACGCGAAAGTTTTGCGTTTTTTCACGAAAGTTTCGCGTTATATCGCGAGAGTTTCGTCTTTATTCGCGAAAGTTTCGCGTTATAACGCGAAAATTTTATTTTTCTTACCTACGAAAATGAGCTCATTGGGCTTTCGTAGCCCATCATTTATCATCATTCATCATTTATTTGATTTACTTGAAATGAGAAAGAGAATGAACACAATGATTGAATATATATTATTTGGTCATTTTTTTAATTTCGTATTTTTTCCAAGTGCTAGATCTGGATAAAATTTTAAAAAAAAATTTTAAAAAATACGTATTTTAAATAATTGCCTCTTATACCTTTGAATGAAAAAGCTTTATTGAGACTTTAACAGATTTTTTGATACATAGTGCCATTGTGCATCTTCTATTTTACATTTTGATCGGAAACGTATTTCGGGTTATTGACACGGTCATTTTTTCACTAACATTGACTCTTTTATGATTATTCAGTTGATTCACTTTTAATTCATTTTGGAAAGGATTCTGATTATAAATAAAAGAGAAGATATCTTTATCTTTGAAACAATTCAGTTGTAAAATATCAGTGTCAATACATTGAACAGAAATAATTACTAGTATTTACCTGGTATTGCACAGCGCAGTGGGTTGTTTACAAATGCAAAATGCATTTTAATTCCTTGATTTTATATTCAAATTTCCTTACGTCAGAATGCATTTAATTGATGAAGTTATGCAATACATATAAAGTTTTTTTGTGTAAATGACTCGGTTTGTTGATGTTTACGGGACCTACATTACTCCATGTTTTGTTTTGTTACGTTTTATTTTCAAGGAGTGATTTTTCAGGTAAATACACAGAAAGTACATATCAGGATATTAATTGAGAAACAATAGGGAGAGATATAAAGGAATTTGCATCAGGGATAGTTAATTAAAATCGTTGGTGACAGGTGGTATTCCCTCTAAGGACTAAAGAGATGTCGTGATATAGAAACAAACTGAGGTTCTGAAAAAAAACATTTTATTGTTAGAAAATCTTGTGTATTAAAAAAGGCGAATTTAGGAATTTCTTGGCTGATGTGGAAAATATTTTTAGCTGGATGGTTTGATCTTTTTCTTGTAAAATTAGTCGGTAGATCTGTAGAGAAAAATAGTCTGTTTTTATATGTATACCTGTAATGTATAATGTAAGGAAATAGAAGTAGCATTTTATTGTTTCATGTTGACAGCGAACCCGTCTCTAACGAATGATATGATTACAGTCCTCGGAGACTACATGAATATTTTAAATGAAGAACCCCATCATCTTTTATTATCAACTTCCCAGTGTATTATAACGAACTTGGGAGGGTTTTTTAAGCATCTGATCGATTCATACCACTTTTGGAATATCACAATATATCTTTTATTTAATCAAAAAAGATGTACGAGCACTAGCAAGAGGAAACCTTTTAAAGATTTCATATCTAGTTTAAAAAGACCAAGTTTCATTTCTAAAAATACGAGGAAGTCAGAAGATATGTTATCGGTTTATTATCAATAGTGACGTCCAAAACAGTTCAATTTATTTTTTGTATATACATGTAAACATTGAAAACTTAAGTCTTAATTCAATGAATAAGAGCATCGCCCTTTTATTTCATAACGTAAGAAAGTATTTACAAGTATATAACATACAGTGACATTAGATACATAAATATACAACCTTCTCTCAATTTACTGGACAATCAATGGGTAATCATGATAAAAACTGTAGATAATTTTACTTCATTTATCATATTTACAAGTTATTTATCTTATATGAATGAAGTGAATAAATGTACAAGACAAACAATTTTTGATGATGATGTGAAATAATTATTAACAATGACTAATATCTCTTATAATTTGAAGATCTGGCTAAAACAAACAGAAGAATAATAGAGATGATAACAAGGATACCCATGGCGAGAGATATAATAACAAATATTTTTACTTTTCGGGAATAGGACGCCGCACCGGCAAAATCCCCTCCCTTCATAGCCTTTCTGGCCTGAAAATAAGGGAAAATATATTAATATATATTAAACATAGATATGTAAAAACGTAAAGGAATATTTTTTTAAAAGAACAAAATATACACTGTATCAAAGATATCGCTATTAGAAAGATTATTAAAACCTCTATAACACAAGAGTATACTTTTTTCGATAAATGTTGTTTCCTTTGAATTTTAAAAATTATTCAAATTACACCATTTAATTTTTGGACATGTACGACAATGCAATTCCTAATAACATTAATGAACTTACCCATGTTGCATATAAAACGGCCACAAGCCCGGTAGGCCAAAAACAGAAGAGGGTCACAAAGATTGCTGGATACATCCAATTGATGTAATTTGAGGTATCAGGGGCCACGGCGGAGGGCTGTGTTACCTTAAAGTAAGTACATAAATTCGAGCTTTAAGTAGAAATTTATATCTTTCAAAAAGCAAATTAGGAAAAGACGGATTCTTTGTGACAAAATGTAATTGTGACCCTTAGAATTTTAGTTTACTTTTTGATCTGACACTTCTTTTGAGTCTCTCAGAGCATAGCATGGACGTTAACATTTAATTTATTATCATATGGGAGACGGGGTGTAATTTAGTGAGCTCAGTGCTCAGAGTAACTCTAGTTTTATTTTACTTCTCAAAGAGAGTGAGAGAGAGATAGGAGATGAATTAAATGATTGATTGTATGTTTTTTAACGTCTTATTCGAGAATTTTTCACTCATATCATATAGAAAGGTACATTTGTACATTGTAAGCATATCAAGGCTTCAAATTTAGACTTTTACTCGACACCCAGGGACATTGAGCAATAAGGGCTCTTTATCGTGCCAACGCCTGTCTTTCCAAGTAAAATGTTGCTTCAGGGTTTCTTATGGGAAGACGGGAATATACTAATTCGAGTGCGAGTTTGGGTTTCCCATAGCAAGACGTGGACACTGTCAATTTTTCTATACATGTAATATTTAAGGATACCCATTTCTTATCTACAGCTGCTCCCATACCACTGAATAAAATTTCATGATACTTTCACAGATTCTTTATTACTTAATGCCACTGAGTAAGTACCTCTTAGTTTACTTTTTGATCTGATACTTATTTCAGGTCTCCAAGAGCAAAGCATGGACTTTGCCATTATAATCATATAGGATCGGGATGCATCATTTAGTGAGCTCAGTGCTAACAGTACTTAGTTCAACATCCAAATCACCCCCAAACGTGCGTATGGTTTTTGAAAATATAAAAAAAAAAAATGGAGGCCAAATGAATTCGCAATTTATGGATAACTGCATACATGTAATTGAATTTCTGGCCTTGAAGAAATATTACCATTACGCCTTGAGGTGGTGGTATGCTGTAGATCTGCCCTGATGCTGATTTATACTGCATGCTGTGTCCAGTCTTATACTGTGGCCTTGTGCCTTGCGGTCCAGCATGATTATCTCCTCCTGTTTTGTAATACTGTATATTATCAGAACTTTGATTCTGCATGGTTATTGCTTTGACTAAAAAAACAAGAAAATCTTGAAATTGATTATATTTGGAATCTATTTTTTCCTTGTTAGTAAAGTTTTAACCATCACAAAATTAGATTGTGCAAAGGGTTGAGGTGCCGTGCATTTCTTGATCAGTTGTTTTTAATGTCTTTTATTATGAATTATCAATTCAAATTTATTATTTTGAAATACATATATGTTATAAAGTTATTATACATACGAATTTGAAAATCTATGGTCACCATGGATTAATATTTTTGAGTTATAAACATATATTTCTTGAATGAAATACTGTTTATTTAATATTTCATTCTTGTTTAAAATCAGAGGGGGAGTGTGAATGTGTGTGAATGTGACTAAAAATGTTATTATGTAACTTGATATGTCACTTTTTGAAATAAAAAAAAATATTTATAAAAAAAAAAGTTATTATACATCATTAATTTAAATTTACAATTTATTAATTTGTAAGTACAAACAATTTATTAATGAATAATAAAATTTCATAAATAATTAATATATTTACCTTCACAAATTAATAATTTGTAACAAATTCATTTTTAATTTCAAATTTATGAATTGTCGTTTCACGTTGATTACCTGTCTTTTGAAAAAAAAAATTACTGGTTCATTCGTTATAATACAAACACAACACACAAATTACAAAATGAATTATAAAGAGTTTTTCTCTTAAATTTTATAGTAGGTTTATTGTGACTAAAAAATGTAAACAACAAGTTTACTGTCAGATATATATTTTAAAACCGTATGAAAGTCATCAATTTATTGTCACAGAGCCTTGAATACTTGGTAAAAACGTATAGAGCAATCTCCAAATTTTGTTTAGAGGCACATGGCAGGTGTGACCGGACGGCAGGGGATGCTCACTGCTCCATGGCATCTGATCCCACCTCTGGTGCTAAAGAGGTCCGTGTTTGCTCTACTCCAGAGTTGTATTGTTTAATGGATATTAGAATACTGTTCGTGTATCCCTAGTTTTTTAATATGTCAGTCTTTCTAGATATACATGCATGCAGGTTATTTTTACACAAAATTATGATCTAAACGAGATTTTCTCACATAGAGACAGATTTGTTCTTAAACCTTGTGAGTGTCCTGGCTTCTGTGAAACATATCTTTTAAAAAAATAGAACAGGAGATTTTAAAAAGTCTGAAAAAATTCTTGTTTACATATTTGAATCACAGGCACTTGTTTTGGAAATAAATTTTAACCTATAGTATAATAAAAACATGTGTTATTATTATACTATAGGTTAAAAATTTATTTCCGAAACAAGTATCTGTGATCTGAATTACTATAAAACATCAATAAAAGACGTAAAGAAGTTGCGTATATATGGATTGGAGGAATAATGTCCTTCTGAATACTTAAGAAAATTATAAACAGCTTTAGTGTTTTTATTTTTGCATCTGATTTTATTTTCAAACTACGAAATATCTATAAAATTACCGTAATATTACAAATCTTTAGCACTTTGATTTAATTATTCGTTTACGCTTTCCATTTGTTGAAAATACAGAGAATAGCATTTCTTTTTTTTTCTTTTTTTAAAGCAAGTTTCCTTATAGAACGAGAAAAACATTTAAATCATTAATTAGATAATTACTTAATGCTAGTAACATAAAACAATTAAACTATTTTAATCAACACTGTCTTTCAATAAAGTTTCTAAAAAAATGTTTTAAGTTACCCGGGGTATTAGTTCATTTTTTTTAATGTAGAACTGTTGAGCGCCATTTATGGATATGAAAATATTAATAGTGATTTACCTTTGGGTGCGTTGACTTGTTTACAGATATGAAGAAAATACTTTGCTTATTTGATTTTATATTCTAATTATTTCGAAATCCCTTACCCCGATTCTCTTTAAATCAGTGAAGCGTTGCAACGGGTTTTAAAGTTTCTATCGTTATTACATATACATGTGATTTAATATTTTACCATAACATTGCGTGTTCAAAGAGTATTTTGGGGGAAATTCCCTGAAAACAGGAGTGGTGAAAACAAATTTATGGGATGGTAAGTAAAAAAAGAAATATTTGTTGATACAGTGACGTAGCACCATTTTAAAAGAATTACTTTTTCAAAGAGTATTTTGGGGGGAAATTCCATGAAAACAGGAGGAGTGAAAAAAAAAAAGAATTATACGTGATACAGTAACGTAGCATCGTTTTTAAAGCGGGGGGGGGGGGGGGGCAGAGAGAAAAAAAATCAACCTACCTGAAGTGTGTGTGGGAGGGGGTAGGTTCAAATTCTTTCAATACCACATTATCTTCCTAATATATTACCACTATTTGACCCTTACTTTTACAAAAAGTGGGGGGGGGGGGGGCAATCGGCCTTTTAATAAACATTTTCAATAGTAGAAATTTATAATTCAAATTAATTTGTAAGTACAAACAGCTCATTAATGAATAATGAAATTTAATAAATAATTGATAATTTACATTTACAAATAAATAATTTGCAACTTCATTTTTTAATTTCAAATTTAAGAATTGTCATTTCACATTGATTATCTTTCATTTGAAAAGAATTACTGGTTCATTCATGATGAAAAGGATATTGTACAATGAAATGAAATGCATCGAAAAAATTCATCAATTAGTAACATTCAATGAACACTGACGATCTTTCTTAATTTGATTTACGAGGGTTGTCCCAAAATTCCGTAGACAAGCGTTGTTTTGTATGAACCCTATGTCATGCATAAATGAAACTTCGTATATAGATTAAACCAACACTTTCTAATAAATTTATGGACAAATATGGAATAACTTCACAAATTATTCCAATTTAAAAGACACCTTTCATTGTCTTGTGTAGGAAGGCGGCGCAATACCCAAAAGTTGCAATTAAAATTTGGTTTATTATACATGTATTTAAAATCCTGCGGAAAGGTAATTACTACCCTGTATTTTTTTTAATGGAAATGAAAATTCTTAATGTTGTTTTATTGGATACATTTCTTCAAATTTTGGTGTTTATCCTTTGATAAATATAAATTTTATAATGTTTTATACACATGGGGTTGAAATCCGACTTTCTGAAAAATGGCGGCTGCGTTGGCACAGGCGGCGCACTGGACTATAATCAAGTATTTTGATCCTGAATTTACTCTTACAGAAAACTAACGGTCAAAAATGTTTGGAAAATTTGAAAACTTGTACTCGTCCTTAGTATTTAAAATGACTGAAACGGTTTCTCTATGTATATGTGAATAACAGTAACTAAAATAAAAGACAAGACTAAGAAATGGACAAGAGTTCCATTGTGCAACTCCATTAGAGAAAACAGACGAAAAGCCCGTAGAAATATAGCGTTTTCAAATTATTATTATTTCATACCTGTACATGCATATACTTTGTTTACATATTTTAATGTTTAATCATATCATAGTAATTAAGATATTTCACATTTATAACTATAACCCTTTCGTTTGATTTAAGAATTTGATTCTGGTAGTTGAAATATTTTCTCCAAAATTTTGAACCGTTGACATTTGTATTTTTTGACGTTGCAGATTGCTGCGGGTGTTAGAGAACGACATCACTTTATGTTTTTACTCGAAAAGTTTTCAAGTAAACATGATAAAACTTCGTAATTTATCTGCCAAGCACACGCTTTATCCACCCTGAAAATTTTATAACGATACATTAATTCCTTTAAAAGATATGAGCCCAGCCTACGACTTTTTGGGACAACCCTCGTATATATCTAAATTAAGTTTCAAAATTTAAAATATAAGCGGAATGTCTAATTATACGAGGGCTGTTTAATAAATAATGTCCTCGGTGCTCGGAAAGAAACAAAAGCGTTTTTCAATGATTTAGTCTTAATTATCTCACTTAAATATTCTCTTTTAGTTAAAATACACGTCCGTAATATTTTTATACAATGTCTGATTGTTTTTAGAACTCAATTTTGAGTATGGTCTTTCGTATACTGGAATATGACAGATCCTATGGTTTCCTGGACTAGTTTCTTCTTTCTCAAAGGTGTTTTTTCAAGTTTGAAAAATGAAACATATCAAAGGGTGAAAGATCGGGCGAAAATTATTGGTGTGTCAAACAGTAACTTCTGTTTAGCCCCAAAACTCCTTTACTGCTCAGGGCGTGTGGGTTTGGACGCTGTCATGAAGACATCTAATGTAGTGGATTAATTCCTGATTCTTGTTCCTTCCTCTCATAAACCTTTCGATTTTTTGGCAAAAATTTTGCTTTCTAGACTCCTCCAAAAATTGAACTGCCTCCCTGAATACGAATTTGAACAGCAAGACCACTAATATTTAAGAAAATTGTATATAAATCTGTCTTTGTACTCATGCAATTCTTTGCTCTTCTCAGACCTTTGCTGTTTTTGTCAAGCACATCTTATTGTAAATTTTGTGTAGAGGGTTTTAAGCAATACATTGAAGTTTCATTATCTGTTTGAATTTCAGACAAACGTGGATAACTACAATTTCTGATCTTTTTTACAATAATTGTTTAGATATTCTTACACGTTGTCGTTTTCACTCATTTTTCAAAACATAGGGTGGCCTTTGAGTACTTGGCTTTTTTACTGTCAAAATTTTCTTTAAACCTGTGTAAAAAAAAAACAAAATATTGTCTATCAATTTGTTAAAGTATGTGTCTTAAAGTCAATCAAACATCATCATTGATTATTTGTTGAATTTTGGCAAACAATACATTGGATCTTATAAGTCCTTGTCGCCGAGGACGGTACCCATTTTTAATTCCCTTTATATAATTTTTGTTCATTGAAATCCACCTGCTCATGTGTCTATAAAACAGACATTGGTTGCTATAAATTTCACAAATTCCATTGAATATTTCTTTGGGATTCTTAACAAGTTTTACAGCAGCTTTAAGGTAGGATTCTTCTCTGGTTTCTGACTAGATGGAATATTCAAAGTACATTTGTTGATATGTCTTATATATTTAGATGTAAAAGATTTAAAAGACCATATTTTTTTTCCTCATCACAATTATACAACTTTAAATTAAATGCGTTTGAAAACTAGCAGGGACTATATTTTTGGCGGAATGGTGGCGTATGAAAATATCTTCTTTTTGCCTCTCAAAATTATTACAGAACATCAAATTTAGTTATAATTTTTAAACAATCAAAGACTAAACGACATTTTTAAATGTAAGTTAAATTAATAATAAGGGACTAAAGTTTCAAAATATATCAAATGAATAAGATTTTTCCACATACTAGAACTATGTTGGGACAAAAATCCGTAAAAAGTGTTATTTCTCTCTTAGTAAACGATCAAAACTTTCAGTTTTTGTATCATTTTGTACCTTTATATGACAACTTTACTATACATGAAAATTAGAAAAAGTTAAATATAGGAAGCATATAAAAATAACTAATAAATCCTAAAAATTTTAGAAAAGTAGAGGAAATTCGGATTAGCAAATATCCATTTTATCTAAATTATCCATGTCAGTTTTGTAATATCATCTTATAGGCCCTATATGGTAGTATCTTTTTATGCAAAAAGAAAAACATTCAATCTTTTGAATTACAAGTAGGGATCGCATGATTGGAAACAGTAATTTTTTATTCTTAATGTCCAGGAAAAAGTTAATGACCTTGACCTGACCTTGCCTCCAATATTAAACGGTCAACTTTAATCTCACTGATACCATCACTTAGTGATATTGTCCTCTTGATTCTGTGAAAATTTCATTAATTTTTAAATACAAGAAATGTGACAAGAATCCTACCTTAATGAAGCGTTTAATTAATTTCACTCTAGTCTACTGTTTTTTTTTTTTACCATTCATTTTTAATGCAGTTTCTCGAATAGCCCCTGTTTCCTTCTCCGAATGAAACTATGTGATGAAAAGTGGTCACATCAACTGTTATAAATTCATTCAAGGTTTAATAAATAGAGAAAGTCAAGCTTAGTGTCATATGATGTCTATATTGTATGTCATAGTATTCAGGACATTATTTATTGAACAGCCCTCGTAGTAATTTGTATTTTGGCCATACAATGACCGGTAATAGACCTGTATGTATGGCACGCCAAATTCACAAAAATTAGCTAAACCTAGTTTCACTATTGATAAACTAGGTTTATCGACTGTAAACTATATAGTTTACAAACCGTAAACTATAGTTAACGATTCGTTAAGTATAGTTTTCATCTGTAAAACTATATTTAACGGTTGTTAACCTAAAATCTAAGTTTATCTGTCTGTAATAAAACGTTAACAATAGATTTTGTTGATAAACAGCATAGATTCACGTCTGTAAATATAATTTACGATCGTTAACTATAGTTAAGAGTTGTACAAACTGTATTTATCAGATAATCTATGTTTTGCAATAGTTTACGGTTGTGAAACATAGTCCGTTAACTATAGTTTACAGATGTAAAATATAGATTAACTAGTTAACTATAGTTTACAGTCCGTAAAAAAAAGATAAACCTAGTTTAACTTTATGTTTTGCTAATTTTTGTGAATTTGGCGTGCCATGTGTATGGTATGCGCATGTATGATTACCAACCAAATGATTGGTATAATTAAGGGATTTCGAACATTGTTATAGGTGTTAGAAAGCATGATTATTCACACACACACACCCCTCCCCCAAAATCTTTGTTTTTTCAAAAATCTTCTGAATTTTTAAAACCAATTTTGAGTGCGAAAAATATTTATCACTGTTATCATTTAAATTTAGAAAAACTTTTGTTAAGTTTAGAACCAAAAATCACCACCTCCCAATTGAAACAGGTAGATGGAATGGAATGGTACTCAAAGAAATGAAAGAGTTTGTAGCTTATGCAGTAGTAACCAGATAGGAGATGAGTATCATTATATTTTAGAATGTAGTGCTTTAAACCAACTAAGGAAAGTTTATTCGAACCAAAAATTTTGCTCTAATCCAAATACCATCAAGTTTTGTGAAATCATGTGCCAAAATGATGTTGATTCTTTGAAACAATTATGTACATTTATTTCTAAAATTAATAGTATTGTCTGTTCTCCTTAATTATCACATTCTGCTTGACCCACTGTATTACATTTGTATATGTATATATGTTTTATATGTTTTTGTACCTCATGTACCATTTACATGGTTTTGAGTGAATAAATTGAATTGAATTGCCAATATAAGTTTTAAAATTGAAATTTGCATCAAATGCTTTATTTTGTAGTAACAAAAAAAAAAAATGTCGGTTATTAAGTTTATCCTGTATGTCTCTTACTCTTCAATCATTATTCTAAGCATGATTCCATTAAAATGTCGAAATTTGTAATTTGCCATTTTCTGGCATATTCTTTTAGTTCCAAATATGAATTTTAAAATATATTTTTTATCCGTGTTGTGGTCTATAGATCCAAAACCACAGTTTTAACTGCAACCAAACTTGCCAAAAATCATCCTTGGGTTAAAATTAAAGGCCACATACGCCATACTTAAAAGGGGGATAATGCAGAATTAGGTCTGAAGTGAAATAGGCAGGCAACTTTAAAACAAAGTTAATAATCATAGATTGCAGAGCTCATGTCAATGAATGTTGTCTTTAAGTAAAGCAAAGTCCCACAATTAACTAACATTCTAGAAGTTTACATCCAAAAAAAGCAAACTTTATGCAATTTTGATCTGATAGGGCTTGCAGTTACGTGGGAATAGATCACCAAAAACTTTAAACTGTTTACTCGTCCAGAAATTGTAGGTCAGATCCATCATCCAAAGTAGCAAGCTTGGTAGTGTGCATCCTTATATGTATCATCCATGCAAGTTTGGTCATCATAGGTCTTATAGTTACCAGGGAAGGCTTGCAGTCGTCCAGAAAATGTAGGTCAGATCCATCATCCGAAGTAGCAAGCCTGGTAGTGTGCATCCTGGATAGATGTATCATCCATGCAAGTTTGGTCATCTTAGGGCTCATAGTTAAGGGCATGCGCCAAAACATTAACCTGTTCACTCATCCAGAAAATGTAGGTCAGATCCAGCACTTGAAGCAGGCCTGGTAGTGTACATCCTTATATATATGTATCATCCATGCAAGTTTGGTCATCATAGGCCTTATAGTTACCAGGGAAGGGACCTATATACTAACTAGTAGTATATAGCCTAGGTCCCTGTAGTTACTTAGAAATGAGACATGCACCAAAAACATTAACCTGATCACTCATCCGGTAATTTCTCTCTTGTTGAAGCAACAACGGCGATGTCTTTAATATACATCTTTAATTTTCAACATAAGTAAAAAAAAACAACACTAATTTTTTGCCATGTATCTATCTTTTTGAAGTTCACGATAAGGTTATTGGTGTATCCAGGGACCTATATGCTAATTTTAGTATACTCGTTCTTTGTGTTTCTATATAAATATTAATACGGAATTTAACCTGATCCGACCCGAATCTTACGTCTACGCAGTGGGCGTGTCTTTCAAGAATCAAAACAAAAGTTGATACATGTATTATAGTGCATGTGTCGCTGTTTATAGTTTGATATAATTGATTTTGTCACACTGTACGGTGAATAACAAAGGTTGGAGATGGACTTAACGTGTATCATTTTTGATTTCCCCGAAGGAAGACATCAATGAAGTTTCGAAATTCCTCGGATAAACAAGCATATCGAATGACAACCAACCTAACCGCCAGACGTGAAAACGTGATTCATTGCTTGTCTTAGTCTAGTGTAGCTGGATTGATTTGACAATGGCAAGAATTTTGAACGACCTGCCGAGATGGCTAGTGATTGTAAGTATCAAATATCACTGAATGCGGAGTTTAATTGCCCACCCCATAATCCATCATCATGACCATGCTAGATTCTATTCCATTTAGAACTAGACTTTGAGACAAATAACTGCATGTCTACAACCAGCCAGTGAAATTAAGTGAGAATCAATTCTGTATCAAATGGGAAGAAATCTGTTTTGCTTTATTTTGTATATAAAATTGATTTCTTTTATAATCTCCAATAAAATCCGTTGAAAATGGAGAAATTTAAAGAAGCATGCATAATTATGATTTTATTCTTATTCTGCTTTCAGTTATCAAAATTGTTCTTTGTAAGTGTTTTAATTGCAATTTTAAATTTTACATCATGAATTTGTGTGTCATTATTAGATAATTTTAATTTTTATCTCAAAAGTTAAATACAGAAAAAAAATCAAAAGAATTGGAAATTAATATTGAAAAAAATATATAATATACTGGTACATCTCCATGCATTGTCAAAAAATTGTAAGCTTTGTGGACTTAAGTTTGAGATTCAAAAATGAACAGAAAAAATCAGTTTCCTTGTTTAATCAGATTTCAATCTCTGCTTGTTAGGTTTTAAAAATTCACTACCTGATCATTGTGAAAACCATTAAACTGTTTTAATGTGACTTACATGTAACTTACAGCGGGCTATTAGCTATGTGTACTTTGTGGACAAGGAACTCGTTACAAACTTCCTCTGAATCAGTGTAAATTATTCAACATCTGTAAGAACACTTGTACTACATTCATCTGCATATCATTAAGGGTGCATGATTTCTTAATTTTCTATATAGCTACAGTGCAGATTAGAATGTGAAATATAAAATGAATTAAATGTGCTTTTTATTGAATTTAATAGATAATTGCAATCAAAATTCATGTATAATTGTTAATGCCTCCTCATTTATATTTCCTGTTGGTGCATGTTTAAATTATTTCTCTGAGCTTAAATGCTTAACTTAAATCAACAGGATTCAGATTGGGCCATGAATTACACAGTTAATCAAGTAGAAGATGAGATAGTCCTTACACATAGGAAACCATTATTTCCTGATCCACTATAGGGCATGATTTAGCTCTAACCTTTACTGAAAACTCACCAAACTTCACGTACACTGATGAAGTGCAATTAAACCATATTGGGTGGCCAGAGCATGTGTTTGCTAAAATCATGATTTATTATATATATAAATCTTTATGATAGATACTTTTATGTACAATAAAAGCATAAAAAATAGAATAAATGTTTAATCATTATAATCAGTCAGTTCTTAGTTTATGGTTTTGGGCAGATGAAATATATGGAGATAACAAACAGTATTCAAGCAAGCAGCTCAAAAGTCCCATTACACTAAATGGAGCAGAGCAAACATTGAACTCCAAAACAACAGAGTATGGATCAGGTTCCTTGGAGGAGTGAGCATCCCCTGCTGACCAGTCACACCCGCTGTCTGCTTCTTGCCATGATCCGGAAATAACCAAAAAATCCCTTCAAGTTGACAATTCAGTGTATAAATAATGCCCTAACAATTAGTCAATTGGTATGAAAAATGTCCGTCAGCATTTGACTTAATGTTTCCTTTGCAGAGGGTACATGTATTTCCATATTTTCACATGTATACAGGTAATGTTTCATAAATTCCACATCAAATTATTTGACTGATAAAAAATCAAATACATCCATACCTCATTATCATAAACTCAACATGCTCAATGGGACCAAGGAAATATACTTCAAGATATCCTGAGTAAAACACTGATCTAAGATGTTTTTTGCTGTTACATGTAATTATGTATGGAAAATTTTCTTCGTCATCCAGGTTACCCCCTCCCCTTTACCCCTTCCTTAGCTGCAACAAGAGAGTGGACAAAACACCCTCTCCCAGGACCCCTTCCTACTCCAATTGAGGCCCAGGCTTTGATTAAAAGCATCATAGTTAACCTAGCTAATATTTTATTTTTGTCTTTTTTAGACTCTATGGTTGATTGCCAACATAGTCTATTTTGTGGTGACATATTTCCGGTTCCTTGAAAGAGATTATGATTATACCAATCTAATGCTGGGGGTAGGTAGAAAAAAAAACTGCTGATACTTTAAATTTTTTGCTATATATTTTTTAAATGAAATTTTTCACCAATTTTTAAAAAATAAATGATTCATGAGGTGATCAGACAGTACTGTTTAATGGATTCAAACCATGGTCTGGTCCATTGGGCTTATCTCCTTCCCTGTAAAAGTTGGTGCATTGCCTAACTGAAATGACAGTTAAGTAAATGACCTGGTAGGATAGAGCTGGTGTCTTCAAGGTGTCCTAATGGGCCAAGACCTTTAAGGAGGGAGGAATGTGATGGTCAGCTGGTTTTAATGGTTGATGTTCTAATATCTATGTCGGCAGAGCACCTGTCTGGAGAATCAGGGGACCTGGGTTTGAATCCTTATTATCTACCAGGATTTGCCTGCCCTGAAGCCTAACCCTCAATCTTACTGCCTGTTTTCTTTGTTGTAGCCCGCCTTGCCCTGGGCACGAGCCAGTGCAGCCTGTCTCAATCTCAATTGTATGCTAATTTTGTTACCGGTGTGTAGAAATTTACTATCAGCCATTAGAGGATCATTTCAAGTAAGTACTAATGTCCTGAACATCAGATAAGTCAAAATTATTTTTTATTTTTAACAGTTATCGATTAGAAGAGTTTTTCAATTAGCATATACTTCTCTTTGCTTTTTTAAATCATGCTTTGTTTTTTTTTTAAAAAATACATGTACAAATGCATGTACATGTTTAATGATCTCAGACAAGAAATTTTGTTAAACTCCATTACTTTTTTTAAACTTTAAAACAGACTAAGTAATTGCATCTTAAGTTATTTTTGTCCAATGGTTTTACACCATTTTAAAATATAAAATAAAAAAAAATTGTTTGTTAAATTACATGAAAAAGTCAATTTATTTGTTTATTTTTTCAGAGATGTTGTAACAGAAATATACGTCGCTTGTTGGACAAACACATCACATTTCATCGATATATAGCTTACATGATATGTGTACATACAGGTAATTTTAAGGAAAGCTCCCCATCCCAATCTCACCTAAAATAGCTATCATTAAAACTCCTTTAATTCATTATGATTCACATTCAAAGGGTTTAAAAATCTGTACATCACTTGAATTAAAATTAAAGAGGAAAGAGAGATCATTTTTAAATCTTAAATTACTTAAGAATTCCATTTTGTTATGAATTTAAAAATGTTGGCACCCAAGGGAGATAACTCTGTAAATAGTTAAATGATTAAATTAGGCAGTAATGCATGAAAAATATCCAAAATCTGTAAAAATCTGTAGCAATTCATTAAATGAATGTTTTTTTGAAATTCCAGCAATACATTTAGGAGCCCACATATTTAACGTAGAGCGCTATAGAGAAGCTTATAACAGCAGAGACAGAGAAAATCGTGAACTGTTGGCGATGCTCAGTTCCTATAGAGACAACCCAAGTGTCAACACTACATTCCTGAACTTCATAGATACCCCTAATACAGTAAGTAACTGTTAGGGATGCTCAGCTCCTAAAAAGACAACCCACATATTAACACAACATTCCTTAACTTTATAGATACCCCTAATACAGTAAGTAATCAGGAGGCTTGGCTACAGATTTATGAGCTTAAAAAAATGCAATGGCAGAAATAAATTGAAGGAAGTTTATTTAAGATATCAACTATGGGATATATCTAAATTAAACTTCCTTCAATTTATTTCTAATATTACTGATAATGCCAACAATCACTCAAGGGAGATTGTTGAGTAACTGGATAGTATAAATATGCTTTCAGTAAAGGAAACCTCTTTATTACAATGATCGTGACCCTCTGTTGGTTTCAAGGTCACTTAACTTCATGGCAGGTGACTCATTTGTTCTTTGACTACTTGAGTCTATTAGAAATCAAATATTCACACCTTATGATGGTATTAAGATAAAACCATGCAATGATAAAGTTTGAATGACTTCCTATTGATCTTATATTTATCAACATTTTCCAATACTTCCTATTAAACATGACTTCCTACTGATATTTTAAGATATATTTTTTTGTTTGTTCCTGTGACTTCAGGATGCAGTTAAGGAAGCTCTGAAGACTTTATCCGGTGTGTCGGGTGTTGTTATTACACTCATTCTCATTGTCATGGTTTCCTCAGCCACTGAGCTCATTAGGTAAATTACGTAACCTAAAAAATAAATCGAGGATTAACCATGTACCATTTTATCTGAGCCAAATGTCAAAAGCTGCTACAAATTTAAATAAAGAAAAGGATCTGGAATATTTTATCATAAATTGTTTTACAATAGGATTGAAATTAAGATGTTGGATGTTAATTGTAAAATTTTACGTAATTACTATATTTTTGTATACATATAGTGATTACGCAAAATGCTAATTATGGTTAATTATGAATATAAAGAATCTAAGATGAATCAACTCTACTTTATTTCAGACGTTCATACTTTGAGATTTTCTGGTTCACTCATCACCTATTCATCCTCTTTTTCATTGGAGTCATTGTACATGGTTTCCAGTAAGTATATCTAAGATCTTCGGGTAATTTTTTTTTATTTTGATTATTATAAAAATAAACACAACTAGATACGATCTCGTTGCAAGCAACGAGTGGTCTTCCATCCGATTCAGGAAAAAAAAAACTCGTAAAATTAAGCTGAAAAGTGATTCAAAATTTTGGTCACAAGGGGGATTGAACTCAGGTCGCCAACGTGAATGCACTTTTTTTTCTCTTTTATCCCTAACGCGCATACCATTATGCTATAATTTGGAGCACTGCTCTAAATATACTTTTGCATACTTTTGCAACAGTACATTTGTCTAAGAATTATAAAAGGCGGACCACTATTCATAATTTCGCGCTAAACGCCACGAGTAAATATTCGCGCCTTTTCTTTGGACTGAATTTTTTAGGTGTGATAGCTTCAATGAAATTAAATAAGTAAAACGTTCTTATGGCCTTTATTTTATTTCGAGGTAAAGAAAGTATATTTAATACATTGTACACATTACATATCGTATATAGCCCAGTTACATTGAAGCAAAGAAACGGAAATTAAGTTTCAAGATTGACACTCAATTGCAACGTACTACCACGTGAAAGTCCAGGTAATTTTTTCACATTTCATGTATCCTTATGTCAGAATGGTTCAATCAAACACTCAGCTGCCTCCATAAACCCCTACTCGCGAAATGGCGGAGTAGAAGACAGCCGCCATCTTGGGCCCGCTTCAGATTTTCAAATATTAATATCTAGAGTTCAGATTAACCAATACTAAAACAACTTACATAGTAAGCATCAATGGAAAGGTCACTATTAATATTCCAAAAATGAATGAAAAATATTGAAGAACAGAAAAGTTAGAAAATTCACTTTTTTAAATTCGCATCTCCTAACGACAGGAAGTATTGACGACGAAGAAAGGTCGCGTCCTGGATAGTGAATATCACGATCTATAATCCCTGAAAGTTTCATGTTGATATCTTCTACTATTCTTGAGATTAACCGTAGACAAAATGTCATTTTAAATTCAGAAAATGTCCCGTAACTTGGCACCAGAAGAGAATTTTCAAAAAATCTCTCGGAAAAAATAATTTTATAACAATACATAATTTCTGTAAATTTCATGAAAGTCCACCCAGTAGTTTATGAAAATCGCGTGCACAAAATTTAGTGTACGGAAAAATAATAATAATAATAATAATAAGAAACAATAGAATCACTATAAGGTCTTCCGTGAAGACGGAAGACCTTAATTATTATAAAAATAAACACAGAGCATGTTTCATGGTCCATGAGACTCTTTCAAAAAGTGAGAATCTTATTTTTTATTGCATTAATTAGGGCCCCGCGACGATTTGCGGGTGCCCTATAGTAATCACTCTGTCTGTCTGTCACTTTAAGATTAATGAATATTTTCTGTTTTTTCCTAATAATTTTTTTTAAGGTAGCCCAATTAAGTTCAAATTTGGTATGGTAGTTCAGTAGGCAAAAAGACATATTCTTGTTTCTCTATGTCCTCTGGTTTATAGCTGGGGTGGTGGGGTAGATTCCTTAACTTTATATAAGAATGAATGGGCAAAGAGAGATAACTTCTGAAAATGTTCCCATTGTAAACTGAATACTGCAATGAATAAGTCCCTTGGGATTAATGAGCTTTCCTCCTGAAGAAAATCCTATCATTATCTTTATCTGTCACAATGAGATTAATTACCACCTCTGCCTGCAAATGAAGTCTGTTTTGAACTTAAGTCCATTTGGAATGCTATGAACACTCGGAAATGTAGATTGAAGTATAAATGTTTTTACTTTATTTTTGTTGAAATACCCTACACAATGAGTTCTGATTTCATTAAATTCTAAAAACAAGAAATGGATTAAAGAAGATATATTTTTTTAAAAAAAATTTATATATATATTTATTTTTTATTTATTTTTTTTTTGCTTTATGAAAATTCAAGAATATTATTATTAACTTTAAGGTAGTAGGATAAAAACTTCATTGTATCATTAGTGTAAAAGTTCATATTATAAATGAAGAAGAAAATGATGAGAGAGAAGTACAATTAATCACTTGGGATTAATTATCTAGTCTGCTGCAGAAAAAGAAGGCTTATCTTTATCTGTCACTTTAAGATTAATGAAAACCTTTGTCTGCAACTGCTGTTTGTTTTGAAGTTATAAGGCCAAGCCTTCATGATATGTATATGCATTCATTGAAGGCTAGCATTTTATATAACACAAGCTTCATTATTGTATAGATATAGATTCAGTGTTGAGTTGTTCTTTACTGCCTTTTGTAAATACAAGGATATTATTTACAGATTTTTGGATATTCAGGAATTATCTCGAATGAGCCAAAGGATCAAGTGAGCTTTTCTGATCAAAATTTGTCCGTTGTCTGTCGTTGTCATCGTTGTCGTCGTCGTTGTCGTAAACTTTTCACATTTTCATCTTCTTCTCAAGAACCACTGGGCCAATTTCAACCAAACTTGCTACAAAGTATCCTTGTGTAAAGGGGATTCAAGTTTGAAGGGCCACGCCCTTTTCCAAGGGGAGATAATTATGAATTAGAGAAAAATTAATGGCATTTTTAAAAATCTTCTTCTCAAGAACCACTGGGCCAGGAAAGATGAAACTCATGTGGAATCATCCTCAGGTAGTGTAGATTCAAGTTTGTTCAATTCATGACCCCCGGGGGTAGGGTGGGGCCAAAATGGCCGATCAAATTTTTACATAGGAATATATAGGAAAAATCTTTAAAAATCTTCTTCTCAGGAACCACTGGGCCAGGAAAGATGAAGCTCATGTGGAATCATCTTTAGGTAGTGTAGATTCAAGTTTGTTCAAAGCATGACCCCAGGGGGTAGGGTGAAGCCAAAATGGTTGATCAAAGTTTTACATAGGAATATAAAGGAAAGATTTTAAAAATCTTCTCAAGAACCACTGGGCCAGGAAAGATGAAACTCATATGGAATCATCCTCAGCTAGTGTAGATTCAAGTTTGTTCAAATCATGACCCCCGGGGGTACGGTGGGGCCAAAATGGCCGATCAAAGTTTTACATAGGAATATATAGGAAAAATCTTCTTCTCAAGAACCATTGAGACAGGAAAGATGAAACTCTTGTGGAATCATCCCCAGTTAGTGTAGATTCAAGTTTGTTCAAATCATGACCCCCTGGGGTAGGGTGGGGCCAAATGGCCGATAAAAGTTTGAAATAGGAATATATACGGAAACCTTTTAAAATCTTCTTTTCAAGTACTTCAAAGCCATGCTTAGTGATATTTATAGGGAATCATCCTCAGGTATTGTAGATTCTAGTTTGTTCAAATCGTGACCCCCTGGGGGGTTAAAATTCAAGCCCCCTTCCCCCCTCCCCGCCCTCAGTAAATTTTCAGTTCTGATCTGATATGTGCTTTTTTCTAGCCAATTGCTCAGGTGAGCGATGTGGCCCCTGGGCCTCTTGTTAAGAATACAGTTGCTGTTTCTTATTCATCATATATTTTTGAATCATTCCATAAGCTGCACCCTTATAATTCTACCCCATGGCAGGGCCCTTGCTGACTGGTCAGTTTTCTAGTTCAATAAATTGTTTTTGTGCAGCACATGACTTTACTTCAGTTTCAGTATGAGGAAATTCAATAGCTTAAATAAAACACTGATTAATATGTTCATTTTAGGGGCATAGTGAGAAGACAGAGTAACGTGGCAGAACATGATCCCCAGCAGTGTATGGCCAACTTCAGGACCTGGGGAACAGAGGGGGGATGCCCCATCCCTCAGTTTGTTGGGCTTGAACCCAATGTAAGACCTAGAGTGCAACAGGCACAAAAACGTTCAACAAAATAGGAAAGTTACTGTGAATTCATTAGACTTGTATCTCAATATTTATGGATTTCATGAGTATATTCCTTTCATCCATGAATTTACACCCTCTACAAATTCATATACTAGCTAGGTTTCAGAGTTATGTTTCCTCTTATAGATTTGAGTGAATGCACAAAACTGTGTCCCCATAAATCTGTGAACTTTTTATGATCCATGAATATTGGCCCCCACAAATTTTTAAGATTCTATAGTAATTGTTTAGAAAAAGAGACAACATTGCTGAAAAAAAAATTAAGCAAATGAGATGAATTCTGCTACCAATTTCTTTTTGTTTTTAAGATTGTTTTGTTTTTATACTTGTTTAATGAAAAGTATATTATTTCAAACAAGATAGCAAATCAAAAAAATGTACTATAGTAGCCTCTCAAATCAATACAAACTGTTTTTCTCAGGCTTGGAAGTGGGTGGTGGCACCACTGGTCATATACTTCATAGAGAGGGTGGTCCGATTTTGGAGGAGTACCCAGAAAGTGGTCGTTTCCAAGGTAACATCAACAATCTTACATCAAATCAAAAGTGGTTGTTTTCAAGGTGACATCAACAACCTTAATCAAAAGTGGTTGTTTCCATGGTAACATCAACAAACATATCATATTGAAAGTGGTCGTTTCCAAGGTAACATCAACAATCTTTATATCAAATTGAAAGTAGTCATTTCCAAGGTAACATCAACAATCTTATATCAAATCAAAAGTGGTTGTTTCCAAGGTAACATCAACAATTTTATATCAAATCAAAAGTGGTTGTTTCCAAGGTAACATCAACAATTTTATATCAAAGTGAAAGTGGTTGTTTCCAAGGTAACAGCATATGCTCTAATTTCAAAATAGTAAAGACTATTTTGTTGAAGTTATAATTTTCTTGTATGTGTTATCATAAAACCTTGTAAATATTTAGGTGGTGCAGCATCCTTCCAAAGTCTATGAGCTTCAGATGAAGAAGAAAGGATTTAAGATGGGGCCAGGACAGTATATATTTCTCCATTGTCCTAGTATCTCTAGTCTGGAATGGCATCCTTTCACTCTCACCTCAGTAGGTTGTTTCTAGTGTTGCTTTTGTAAAGTACTCTTTTGAAACCAACATTTAGTATAAATTCAAAGACGTAAATTTTGACTACTTGGTAATCTCATGAAAATGATATTTATGTACTGGGTATATCATTGAATGAATTTATGTACTTGTAAATTAATGTTTATTCAAATCAAGGTTTAATAAGATTAAATGTTGTTGTTGTTTTTTTTTTTGGTTAGAAAATATTCTTATTGTATATTCAAATTAAGTTTAAATTGGATTAAATACTGTTTTTGTTAGAAAATGTTCTTTAATTTAATTTAGCCAACACTGGTAGACTTACGGCTAGCTAAATATTCGGATCAATGTAATATAGATGTTGATATCGTATTTCCTAGGCCCCTGAGGATGACTATTTCTCCGTACACATCAGACGAGCAGGGGATTGGACCGAGGCTCTTGCCAAAGCATGCTATGTCGATGACGGGGAATTCCAGTCTTCGCGGAAAATGCCAAGGTAAACACATTAATTAATGTGGTAGGTGCCTACCAAAGAGTACATTTATACAAAATTCCATTTTCATAAAGCAACACTCAGACAATAAGTTCACCTGCTTATTAGTGCTCAAATCGTTTTTCATCTTATTTCCATTTCTCATTACTGTCAAACCCAAATATGTATTCAACTGAACATTTTATCCTCTTGAAAATGATATAAAAATAATACATAATACTAGCAAGGACATGTATCTTTGTAGCAAGCTTATTAAATTTTGCATTTCTGATAATCGGTGAATTGTCAATCTTCTTTTGTCTAGGTTAGCAGTGGATGGTCCATTTGGAACAGCCACAGAGGTAAATAAATACGTTCAGAAACATTTATTATGAAGACTAGAATTTTATGAATTTTTAACACAAATTAAGTATCAGGCACAATTTAATTTACCAGGTATTATTATTACACAAGTATTGTTAAAACCTATATCTTAATCTGTAGGACATTTTCTGGTATGAAGTTGATGTATTTGTGGCAGGAGGTATTGGGGTCACTCCATTTGCTTCCATCCTAAGACATATCTGGTAGGTAACAATTTACGAACAACTAATACAAGCATCTCTATCAACAAGTAAATCAATTTAGAAGGTTTTAATTTGATCCATAATAAGACTTTTTAAGTTTTGTGTCATTCCAATTCATCTAATGGCATTTTGACTTGTTTCTAGAATACCGGTAAGTCAGGTATTGGTAGATTTATATAAAATTTTTACAGGCACAAACATAAAGAATCTAAAGAAGACATGAAGCTGAGAAAAGTTTACTTTTATTGGGTCTGTCCAGACACTAACTCTTTTGAGTGGATTAATGATCTCCTGAAGAACTTTGACCAACAAATGGCTGAAGACGGCCACAGCGAGTTTCTCAATTATTATATCTACTTAACAAGGGGCTGGGACAAAAACCAGGTATTTGTAGGCAATGTCATCCTGTATTATAGCTACATGACCAGGGAATTAAAAGTTGGACACAACTGGATAACAAATAGCAACAAAGGATATTGAACAATGAAAGCAGAGTGAAATGATAAAACTATGAACAGTATCATTTATATAAGAAAAAGTTGTAACTGAAAGAGATCGTTGAAAAAGGGGGATAACTGCAGCCCTGTAAATCTCTTACCATTGAGAAACCATTATCCTAGTGACTTCTTCCTGCATGGCAATACTTTTCTTTTTTATTGTTCTTTTAGTGGGAGGGAATATTTTTAGAGATATGGACTCCTGGACATACCCTTGATGGGGTATAGAAATTAGAAATCATTCAATAATCTCCAATCTTTTTCTTCCAGGCCCAGAACATTATTTTACATGAACATGAGGATGTGGACCCGGTGACTGGGCTAGCACAAAAGACACATTACGGACGGCCAAACTGGGATAAGATTTTCCAGGACCTCGCCAAAAGCCATCCAAGGTTTGAAGATAATATAAACATATTTCATTGCAAAACTAAAGAGTTTGGTAAATCTGAGAGTCAAGATTTGTTGAATATCCTTTTTATATATTTTATTTTTTTTTCAGTACCAGTGTGGGGGTATTTTTCTGTGGACCAGGTGCTCTTTCTATGACTCTCCACAAAATGTGTAACAAGCACTCAGCTGTAGGAGGGACAAAGTTTTTCTACAACAAAGAAAACTTCTAAACTACAGCATTATTCTACAGCAAAGAAAACTTCTAAACTACTTACAGCATTATATTCTACCACAAAGAAAATTTCTAAACTACATACAACATTATTCTACAACAAAGAAAACTTCTAATTAATCTACAAAATTTTTCTACAATAAAGAAAACCTTACTCTACAACAATGAAAACTTCGGATCTACAATATTATTAAACAATTTTTTAGAACCATTAGTATTCTTTCTAATTGGTTTCCAAGACATATTTTGATCATGATATTTATATTACATGTATTTAAGAAATAAAGTCGGTGTTTTTGTGAATGTTGCAGAATAACCTTCAAGGGCGGGAAATGTTTGTTTGAAAGATAAAAGCCGAGGCGTTAGCCGAGGCTTTTATATTTCAAACAACATTTCGAGACCAAGAAGGTTATTCTGCATCATTCACCACATCAAGGACTTTATTTCTGTTCTACTATGCAGCGACTGATCGTTTCTCCATAGAGAAATGAATTGGGTCACCATGCTGCGATAACGCTGTTCTGTTTAGCACCAGAGTTTTTTGTTTGTTTACCTGTGAATAGAATGCAGATGATTTCTGCTTTCGTCGCATTAAAATTAGTCTTTTATCAATTATAAATCTGTTTGTAGCTTATATAGATAAATCTTTTTGAATATACAGTAACAAAATCGGTTTCCTATTTTACCACTTTATCACTAAAATTGTGGAGTTTAAATATGGCTTAAGGAAGTCTGTGAAACAGCCCCAGTTAGCTTTAGGACTGACATTCATCAGCTACTTTCTGCAATAAACAGTGTTTAAATTGCAAAAGACGACACATCAATGTGGTCTAAATATGTATTTCATTCTTAAGTCAAATGTTCATTTCAACTGCACAGGTTTGTTACATGTTTCTGATCTGATAATTTTTTGATGACGTTCGTGATTTATTGGAGAATAATGTCTGCGGTATTTCTTTGATCTTGGCAATAATCGTGGTAGAATTATTTTTAAACCAAAGACATTTTGTCCATCTTTAATGCTGTTAAATGAACTTAAGCAAAATTTTATGATGTTTATATTTTACGAAGGTTTTATTATGTCTTTATCATGATATATCATTGCATGCTTTATAATGAGGCTTATATACTGTTAAATCGTTATCACATTTCAGTAGAAATTTTTCAAGTGGTTAAAAAGTTCAAACTGATTTTTACATCATTTGATTTAAAAATAACTGTAAAATTGAAAGAATTAATGCTCACATTAAGTCCTATTGTTACAGATATTGCTGACAAGTGCATATTTTTTTTTAATAAAATCATTTTTTATCCCCCTTGTTATTTGTATGACATTTATCATGCACTACATTCTTTAGAAGAATTTTAAAACATTTTTACACAATATATATTTTTTTCATACAATTATTTTCTTGTTTCTAGTGCTCTAAAATATATTGTCTCAGGCCAAATAAATGATATTTTAAATGGTACCGGTACATTTTGTATATTGTCTCATTATGCGAGTTTATTTTAAATAGTACCAGTACATTTTGTATACTTTCTCATTAAGTAAGTTTGTGTTTCATCTTTTCTACATTTTACTTTCACAAGAACATAATATTCATAAAGTATGAATGTGATGGATATGGTTATGAATGCAACAAATTTATGGACAAGAATTTTTTTTCGGAAGATATTTGTAATGATGATATTGTTAATTACCAAAAAATTGCACATATGCACTTCTGCATTATAGACATGCAGGCAAAATTACCAAATATGAGATTATGCTTGTAAATATACCAGTATAATATATTTAATAAATATATTTAATGAGTATCTCTGATCTGTTGTCTTGTAACATTTTTTAAAGCACAATATAAAATATCTTTATATTCATGCAGTTGGGTGGCAGTTTTCCAGCTTAACCAGGAAAAGAGATAGCTAGAGAACTGTAGCTCTCTGTTTGAGAAAATTCGGACAGATAAAGCAGAGAGCTACAGATCCAAGCGTTGTAAAACCCTTAGATTTATGCCGACAATCTTTTGTCGATCACGATGGGTATTTTTGTGTGTATTTCATACTTTCCCCAGCTTTCAAAATAATTTTAAATGGTATTTAATTATTAATCATGCATTCAACTTCAATTCCTAATCATTTACTTACCTCAACGCTGACAAATGGCTGTTTGTGGTTACGGACGTCGAAATGGAACTTTTTAAAGCGACATTACAAAACTGTATTCAGGACTGTTTCGAACCGTTAAAAGGTAAACAAAGTATCAAATATAAGAATTAAATATATGAATTATTATAGGATACCATTCTAAAAGCCAGAGAAGGCTTAAACTACACGAAATAAATACCTAAAGTAGCGACAAAAAATCATCGGCGTAAATCGTCATTTTTTTTCAATGCTTGGATCTGTAGCTCTCTGCTTTATCTGTCCGAATTTTCTCAAGCAGAGAGCTACAGTTCTGCAGCTAGAAAAGAGACTGCTTTAATTTGTGGGTGCATGTCCCTCCTCCTTTCCATTGGGGTTAAAAAGTATCTATTTTCCTCATTCCATAAGAATAACTGTATGCTACAGAAAAAAGAATTCTTTCATATGTGTTAAGCATTGGCAAGTTAATTCTTCATTTAATACAAGCTTAGAAGAAAACTGCAAAGGTGATAAGTTTCATGTTTTCTTGTCCTGTTGCTCTTAAAAGATTTTTAAAGACATCCACCCTATCTTTGCTTTTTAGCTCAAGTGAGAGCTTTTCTGATCATCTGTTGTCCATTCTCCCTCTATCTGTGAATTTTTCATATTTTCGACCTCTCAGGGACCACTAAATCAGAAAATCTGAAACTTACGTGGAAGCATCCTGGGGTAGTGCAGATTCTACATTGTTCAAATTGTGGCACCCAGGGGTAGAGTAGGGCAAAAATTGGTATTACAAGGGGGAAATCTGGTAAGGAACAGCTACTCATGTGAGCACTTTGGTCCATTGGCATCTTGTTATTGATTATTTCAAGAGTGTGGCCATTCAGATAATGCAATCCTCTTCACCCATAGATACTTTGTGTCAAAGTTTACTCAACATCAATCCAGTTAATCTGGAGGTGTGGCCAAAATGTTACAGATTGACCAAAAATTACAGAAAAAATCATTTGGGCCACTTTCAGATCAGAAGAGCTGAAATATAAAATCAAAGCAATGCATTCTAATCCTTTATTGCATTGCAATATAATAAACATCTAATGCCAAATTCATTTATCATGTACAGTCTCAACTGATCTGTCTTCAGTGTTTTAATATGCATGTATGTTTACCTATAGTATTTCAAAAGACCACATATCTACATGCTCATCCACTGAAGACAAATTTATTTTCACCACTTTATTTTTGTCAACAAGATTGTCCCTTTGTTAGGATATATAACATGTATAACTGCTCAACAGTATTGCAAAATAAATTCTTTCATGAACCAAAAAGTTAATTTTTTTGTGGAATATTCTTCTTTTCTTCAAACTCTTTCTTTCTTTGTCTAAGAGTCTCCTCCTTCTTTGCCTGCAGTCCCCTCTTGGTAATTCTTACTTTAGCAGCTTCTCTTACATCACGCGCAATCTTAGTTCTCATTCGCCAGCCTTTGTTAACCTGGTGGTCTATCGCTGCTCTCATGTCGATCTCGTCTGGAATATGCACGTATCTAACATTTTGTCCTTGAACGAAAAAACTGGAGAAGTTTTGTGATGTTCCTCTGAATGATCTGAACACAACATTTCTCATTACAATGTTCATAAATGCGTCCACATCTTCTACTCTTCCGGTGACAGAATTTTCATTCCTCAGCTCTATTGTAGTTACTTTTCCTTCTACAGCCTTTAAAAGCGAGATTAATGTGTTCCTTACCAAGTATTTTTCTCTTTCACTTGCTGCCATGCTTGCATGTTTGTAAATACGAAAGTGAAAGTATGCCCCTTATGCAAATGAGGTTGGAAAAATCTATAGTTCTTAGAAAATCTTATATTTTTTAATGTCTTCATAATATTTTTTTATATAAGAAAGAAAACTTTCTATGGTAATTATGGTAATCAAAACGATAAGGAATTATTTCCATATTCCAAAATGGATATATTTTTCGCATTGTCACAAGCGGGTACAATGGCGGCAAGTTAGAGGAACCACTGACTTAGTACCCTCATGGATCATCTCCAGGGCTTTTTTAAAACAAAGCGATATCAGAAATGCCTAGATATTTTGAGGGGATCTTCGAGGGCTACTTTACTGGACATGTTTACCGTGGCAAACAACATAAACTCGGTGGAGATATCCTTGGTACATGTTTGCTTTACATCTATCTGTTGGCCTTACACTACATTACAGGTGTCACAACAGTATTAATTTCTGCTATATATTCTTACCAAAAATGCGCAAGTTTGAGTAGATGTAACTAATTCAAAACAAACATCTGAGAAGTTTCCTTTTCAGATCTTGTAAAATCATTCTTTATAAAGATTTTAGTACCAAAAAATACATAGCCATCCAGCAAGGCACGCAAGTTTGTTTCGGTCGAAGTCGAGCAGGTGCTTGAAAATCTAGTCCAGGGCCTAATCACTCCCCACTCTTGACAGTATACAGAAAAATCAGCACGCCCTAATTTTTAATAAATCTGGTCAATACAGGAAGTTTACATGTTGTTTTTCATCTCATAAAAAAAATTCAGCTCCAGTCTCGTATCAAAATGCCTGAATCGGAAGGGAAGATTCAGGGATTATTTTGCGTCAGCCATGATTTGACGTGAACCAAAGTGTAATACTGTTATGACACCATTAGGCATAACGTTACACAGTCAACTTATAAAAAAAGATTTTACAATGTTGGGGTGTTTATAACATAAAAATAGAATTAGACTCATGTAACATAACTAAGAAATTGTTGTCTATTTTTGAGAGTATAGCTATTTCACCTGTTCTGACACCTAACAGTGTTATTTGTAAAAAGTCATCCTTGCAATGTTTAATAGGGGTCCTGAGAGTCAAAACTTGCCATTTGACCCCTGGCAAATTTCATCTGATATACATTGAAGAGAAATGAAATGGCTAATTTTTCGCTTGGATGGAGATTTTGGGTGTTTCTTATTGGATGTCAGTTGTTAAATTATAACAATTCCATTTCTTTTATAGAAACTTGAAAGTTTAGCAACATGTGATGCACTAAAATGGAGCTTTTAAACAATTAGAAGAGAGAGTTAGAGACTAACCGCTTCTGTAAAACATGAATTGCAATGAATATGGGTACATACTGAATTTACCATGTCTATTGTAGGGCTGTCACGGTTCCAAAATTTTTCGGATCGGGTCGGTTCTGATTTTTTTAGGTTCGGTTTCGGGTTTCTCGGGTCGGGTAGGTAATGGAAGAAAAGCTCATGATTTGTATTATTTTCAACAATAAAAAGTATATTTTCATTTAATCTTAGAAATTGCAACATTATAACTAGTTTTAAGTAGCCTCCTGACTAGACAACAATTGTACCAAATTATTTAAATCACCTTATAATGACAATGTACTAACCAATCTCTCGTTTTTGACGCCATTTTTATAGTAAATCTACTCTATTATACAAATCGGAACCGAACCGAATTCCGGAAAAACGGAACCGTACCCGACCCGAATTAATTGTTCCGGGTCATTTCGGGTACCCGTGACAGCCCTAGTCTATTGGAGTTACCACATGTTTAGGTCGAATAAGTGTTTACTTGTGTTTATTAAATAGACCATCAACATGGTCAATTTGATTTGCTATTATATTTATGAAAAACCTGTTCTTCAAGGTATTTGAACGAACAGTTTGACCATTTTATCCCTTTCTACAGAAATGGGTGTGTCATCATATGACAATGAATTTTCAAAAGATATCTCAAAACATTCCATTCCAACAGAAAAGTTTACCACTTATCGCTACAGCCAGCCATCCCACACACTATTGGATGAAATTTGCCAGGGGTGCAACATGTTGATTTAGGCATATTAGGACCCCTGGCATTGCAAGGATGAAAGTACAACAAACTGTGTGGGCCAGAAGTCATATGTGGCAAGAAATGGTACTGCATTTTAATATCATGCCATTGGATATAACCTAGTGAACCCTGTTTGTAATTGTTTTATTTATGTTACAAAATTCAGAAACTAGAGATGCTGTATGCTATAATCATATTATAATTTTTTTATGACAGAATTTATTGTCGGGAGAAACTACCATTAGTAGAATTCAAAATGGAGAGGAGGAATTTGTACAATTACTGCAGAAAATAAGATGTAAGTTATTGATTTCACAGAAAAAAATTAAAAATAAAATGATTGTTTATTATAGAAGACATTTGGTTCACCCTCCATGTGCTGACAAATCCAATACCATAGATTGAATTGTATTTCCTTCTGTATCATGCATTTCCATGTCTACAGCTTGTATTTTTTTCTTTTCTTTGGAATTAAATTTCAGTTAATAAATTCATTCTTGTTATATGCATGTACCGGGGTACATGTATAATCTTGCTTTCACAAATGAAAAGTTCATAGGAATTGAAATAGAAAGAACATTAAAAAATATATCTCATTAATAATGATTGCATTTGCAGGTATTCCATGTAAAGAGGAAACAATAGCATTGGAAATCTGTGTGGTCTGTAACATCATAGTGAGTCATCTTGTTCAGGGAGTTTGTCCTATTGACCATTGTCTAGAGATGATGTCAATCACCCTACAGAAAGTCTGGAATTTAGTGGGGAGATCTCGAAGTATAAAGAATTCATTTTATTTTAAACCAAAAAAACCATGTCAGACAAATAACTTGATTTGTTAAAAAGTTTAAAAGAGAAATGGCAGAAATTTTGCTTCTTTTAGATTTAATTTTTTTTTTCAGAAGGAAGTCATCAAACAACTGACAGAGAATTAAGTAGGAAAGACCTCGTATTCAACTTGCTGAAAGACATTTGGGATTCTGATATGAGTGGTATGAACTATGAAAATATTTGTTTTTAATTTTAAATGTAAGCTGAGGCCATCAAAGTTATTTCTATGAAAGTGTTACATGTAGTGTGGGTCTTTATTGGGTCTGACAAACCAAGTAAAAAAAAAAGGAAATTTCCCTTTTCCGGAGTTAGCTATCTATACTGAAACCCTTGCCATTTTTAGTAATGCATATCAGTGGTAAGAATAAGCAATGATTAAGCAAGTGCTCACAAGAAATGAGAAATACTGTGAGAATAAAGATATATTTATATAGCAGTAAATGGAGAAATGCATTGTGTATCATTTCTTTTTTTTTTGTTCTATACACCAATTGTTTACATGTACATGATGTATTTGAATTTAAATACACAACACTTGAAGTAATAGCGAGCGCTGCAAAGCGACGCTCGTAACTGCGAGCTCTAACGACAACGCCTGGGCGAAGAGAAAATTCGGACTACTGCACATTCATTCTTTAGAATTTTTTGCCGCAGTAACTTTGACCCACAATGCATCACTTAGCAAAGTTGCGTTCTCGCAAAGTAAACTTTTTTCATTAACTTTCAGCACTGATCAGTTTTTTCTTGGTATTTGTAACTTACATACGACGTCATGTGACGTCAGAGTCTAGACGGACCAAATGTCACGTGCGGTTTGACGAGCCCGATCTAAATTAAAACAATAGAAGAGTTTGCGCTCGCTCTAACAGTCGCACCGTCAACATATTATGTTTTAAGATATTTAAAATCCAATGTCTTGCATTTTTGATATATAAAGTTTTATGCCTAAATTTATTATATATTTCAGGGCAATTACGTCATAGTTTGGTAGAGATGTGTTCCAGATGTTCTACTGTCCTTTTCATGAACAGGAAGTCAGAGAGAGCTCTACAGTTTTTGTCTCTCTGTAAAATGGAACCACAGAAAAATCAAGGGCAGGAGGTTTGTTTTACAGAGTTAATTTATACATGTATACGGATCTGCATCATATGCTGATTTCATAGTCAAAAGTTTTCTTATAGGAAATCAAAGAAGACTATAAGGGTTTGAAAAACCCAAATTTGACTGTCTATAGAAAAACTAGTACCAAATAGGTGTTTGTGCTAGAGATACTACTTGTATGTCTATCAAAATCAGACTTTGATTCATAAAGCTATTGACTATTATTACTTATTAGGTTTGACAGTGACTGTCCACAGAAATATGATGGATTGTTCAAAACCATGAGCCTTGCCTTCCATGAATTTGTAAAACCCTTCTTATGTCTGTGGATAGTCAGTGACAACCCTTTTTAAAAGTTTTTTGTTTTTTTGAGGACTAATAACAGTTAACAAACCTACTGAAGTCAAAGTATTATGACAAGTGTTTCATTCTAGTCTCAGGCAAAATAAAACATTCTGTATGGCCATCTACTAGGTGAAAAGTGTAGGCTACTTTTTGCTTAAGTGTGTGGATCTAATGAAAGAGATTTTTAGTACTCTTCACCCTCTATGTAATGTTTTAGGACCCCCTCCTGCCTGCGTTGTTAATCCCCCTTGAGGTGCCTCTGCTGGGAGGTGAGGCCTGTTCCCCAGAGTCCAGGACAATAGAGACCTGGCACCTCCTGACAGCACTGTGTCTCTATCCAGAGGACCCCACAGAATGTAAAGAACATCTACAGAAAGTAACGCAGCAAGTCTGGCAGCCCTACACAAAACTCATGGAAGGTAACACTATTTTTAAAGTGGTTTAAAATTAGGTTAATTGCTTGATTTTTTTTATGAAAAAAAAAATTGCATTAAATTAAAGAATGTTGAAATTAAAGGGAAAAAAGATAAACCAGAATAAAAATTTATGGATGAATTTTTGTTATGATCTCATATATGGTTGGACTGTCATTGTATCAAAATCTGATTTTCTGCAGCACAGTTGGAGTTTGATGCTGGCCATTATTTGGAGGCCATGGTTCTTCTGTCGAAGACAGCTGGACTGCCATCTCAGATGACAAACAGATTAATGGCTTTACACTGTAACCTGTTTGGAATGTGTCTGTCAAAATTGGTATATAAGAATATTTTTGTCAAATTTTACATTAATTTAGAAAATTAAAAAAAAAATTTCATATAAAATATATAAATTCTACTTTTTAAGAACCCATGGAAATTTATTATAACCAATTTTACAGTTGAATTCTGCAAACTTGAGATTTAGGGGGGAAAAAATTGAAATTTCCTAGGATCTTTATCTGCTTGATAAAAGGGCATTATTTCATCTGAAGATATTTGAAGTAACTGATTTCATTATCAAGATTTAGTGAAACTGCACTACCGGTGTATTTCCAGTAATATTTGACCTGTATCGTTTATATTTTCAGAACAAGCCCCACAGTGCGGTACAGAAGTTCCGTGAAGCGTTGGACTGGGATTTCTCCTGTCTGGTACCCCTGTATAACATATCCGTGGAGTACAGACAGCTGGGTCTGGAGGAGGCAGAACTCGAGTCATTAAACCTCTTAGTCACGGTCAGTCATTGTAAACCTCTTAGTCACAGTCAGTCTATGAATAAAAGTTAATTGCATAGACATTATTTATTTCTTATTTTTTGAGTTGGCTCGCGTAGCGAGCTAATCCCTGTCGACATAGCCGTTTCAGAGGGTTAACAGTTTCAGAGCTGTAAAATTTTTCACGCATTCATCAAGGTGATCCATACGCCAAAGATAATAGTTCTAGCAAAACATGCTTTGGTTAGAGTGATTGTATAAACTTATGAGGTAAAAACTGTATAAAATTCCATACTGTAACATTATTTATACCTTCATGCTTTTAAAGAAATTTTTGATTAAATACCTGTAAGATGTACAATTACTGCGTATGAATATGTTCAAAAATGTTAGGTGGATCTAATCTTCCCATCTGAAGTTTATTTATAATTGACCTAGAATACTCCCTAACACAAACACCTGCTGCTCCCTCATTAGCTGCAGCTAGTTGTTGTTGAAAATCTATTTTTAGAATCCAGATTTGCTGTGGGAATCTATAGCCTAATTATTCCATAACACTGACCACTTCAGCTAATGTGCTGAAATTCATTATAGAATCCAGTCAAAATAATACGGAAGCCCATTAGTGCCAACCTGTATTTATAAAGGAAAAGCAATGTACACTTTATTTATGAACCAAACATGGATCAGACATATAATATTTAATCTCTTAAGATGCAAAATAAACTGAATATATGAAGGTATTGTGCCCATGCAGGTGTATGAAAAAGCTCAAATTGACTCGAGCGAGTCAACTCGCAGGCCCTTCAGGCCTTTGATTGTAGGATTGATTTACTCCGAATTATTACACGAACCACCCCCCCCCCCTCCAGAAAAATAAACCATTACAGTAACATTATGATTACAGTGAAAAATTTAAATGTCCACATACATTAGCAGCTTTTTATCCCCTCACGCAACTAGTTGCGGAGGGATATAGCATCGCAAATGTGTGTATGTGTGTGTGATAGTGTGTCTGTTACAGCTTGTGGGCAAGATTTACAGAGAACATTTGCATTAACCACTATCAGCCTGTACATACTTGTTTTGCATTATAAAAGGACGAAGCCTATTCATTTTCAAATTAATCGATGTAATATTTCTTAAAATGTAGCATTTTTACTACCTTCTAACCCTGAAATTTTATGTACGACTTGACAATGCTTACTTCCGCTTATTCCGGTTGCTTCAATAAACTGAAGTTTTATGTACGACTTGACAAATACCTAGTAAATTCGAGTCGCTTGGATAGACTCGCTCAGTAAGTTTATTTGCGCTTTGTCATATAATTGTGCCTATTTTTAGACAGTCTGTATGAATTAACATATCTTTAATGCTAAGTAATTGAAATAATTTGATGAACGTCGCGGTTTTTAGCTCTACTGGTCAGAGACCAGAAGAGCTTATGCGATAGTAAGGTGTCCGTCGTCCGTCCGTCCGTCTGTCTGTCTGTCTAGCTGTCTGTCTGTCTGTCCGTCTGTCTGTAAACAATTTTTCAAAACGCTACTCCTCCTACAGTTTTGGTCTGATTTCAATATTACTTGGCACACAAGTAGACTACACTAAGATACATAAAATAGAGCATCGGTTTTTGATTTCGATGAACGATGTTGCCATGGTTACCAAAAATAGAATTTTCTGTGAAATTCCTTTAAAACGCTACTCCTCCTACAGTTCTGATTTGATTTCAATATTACTTGGCACACAAGTAGACTACACTAAGATACATAAAATAATGCATCGGTTTTTGATTTCGATGAACGGTGTTGCCATGGTTACTAAAAATAGAATTTTCTTTGAAATTCCTTTAAAACACTACTCCTCCTACAGTTTTGATTTGATTTCAATATTACTTGGCACACAAGTAAACTACACTAAGATACATAAAATAGTGCATCGGTTTTTGATTTCGATGAACGGTGTTGCCATGGTTACGAAAAATAGAATTTTCTTTGAAATTCCTTTAAAACGCTACTCCTCCTACAGTTTTGGTCTGATTTCAATATTACTTGGTACACAAGTAGACTACACTAAGATACATAAAATAGTGCATCGGTTTTTGATTTCGATGAACGGTGTTGCCATGGTTACTAAAAATAGAATTTCTTTGAAATTCCTTTAAAATGCTACTCCTCCTACAGTTCTGATTTGATTTCAATATTACTTGGCACACAAGTAGACTACACTATTAAAGATACATAAAATAGTGCATCGGTTTTTGATTTCGGTGAACGGTGTTGCCATGGTTACTAAAAATGGAATTTTCTTTGAAATTCCTTTAAAACGCTACTGCTCCTACAGGTTTGGTCTGATTTCAATATTACTTGGTACACAAGTAGACATCACTAAGATACATAAAATAGTGCATCGGTTTTTGATTTTGGTGAACGGTGTTGCCATGGTTACTAAAAATAGAATTTTCTTTGAAATTCCTTTAAAACGCTACTCCTCCTACAGTTTTCGTCTTATTTCAATATTACTTGGCACACAAGTAGACTACACTAAGATACATAAAATAGTGCATCGGTTTTTGATTTCGATGAACAGTGTTGCCATGGTTACTAAAAATAGAATTTTCTTTGAAATTCCTTTAAAACGCTAGTCATCCTACAGTTTTGGTCTGATGGCAATTGCTTCTTTTCTCATCCTTTGTTATAAGTACAAACCAGTAGAGCTACAGTCTCGACAGAGACTTCTGGTATTACCAAATTCCAACAGGTGTCTGGGAATTTGGGGTGCATGTTATTCCTGAAAGCTTTAAATACAATCCACAAGTTCAATTGACCTCTCAATGTACATTGTTATATTTCATTACAAAAAAATGCATATTGCCTGGAACTGTGTGATATACATAGGTAGGTAAATTACTGAAACTTATACAAGTAGCATACATGATATGTATCTGCTAGGTATAAGGAAAACTGCCCAGTTACATATGCATGTTATCCCCCCTCCTCTCCACTAAAATGCTATGCAATTTGATTTTTGTTAAAAATAGACCCCCCCCCCCAATCCCTGATTATTTTGTTAAAACATAAATAGTGCTGAAAAACACTTTATTTTCTTCATCTTATATTAAACTTTACTACACCAACTTAGGCATCCATGTTATGCACCCCTAACCAGGACGCTATGCACTTTGCATTTTGAACAATTTGGATCAACAACATAGCCCCACTGATAATTTTGTCAAAAGTAAGGGAGTTGATCCTAACATTGCGGGTTCGAATCCAACTGTGGGATGTGAGGACTGGTCCTTTGAATATGACCATGTAAACCAAGGACCCATGTCCCAGTAGATGCTGGCAGAAAAAGATCCCTCACTGCTCATTGGCCGTCATTTCCTATTATAGGTCTCCACAGGCAATCCTTCATATGAGAAAAAAACAAGCTAATTCAGAGAATTTGTGTCCCCCGCTTAGGGAAAAGTAAATCATGCGCAGTTCGGGGGTCGGGGGGAGGGGGGGTTCGGATCCCCTTCACTGAATTTGTAGAATTATGAAATGTATACAAATGTATACATACAATGTAAGCAAATAAAATATGCCAATATGGATATAAAGGTTCGATGGATTATTCTCTATTATGTGTGAAGATTCTTTTTTATACGGAATATTTATCACACTGTAATGATGATATTATGAGTTTGTACAAGCCAGACCTCATAAATTTTTCATTTCACATGCTGAATACTATCGTTTAGTAAAAAAAGAAAAGTATTTCGGAAAAAAAGTGGATCATCCAAGATGCGATCCCGGGCCCTCTTACATTTGAAGCGAGAGACATACCACTAGACCACGGAGCCGCTGAAACTTGGCAACAATTGTATACAAACATGAAGTGACATACATGTATATATTCACGTTCAATATTGTCAAAATTTTACACAATGCATGGTGTCTAATTTAACCTTTATAAAACAGTTCTAATAGATGTAAAAAGAATATAAAGTCCACCGAGAACCTGTTTTATACGTAATAATTCTCCTCATGTCCCTGTGCTAAAAATAGCGACATGTAATACAATAAATACTAATAAAACAAACGGGGCGGGGCACTTTGAGAGGAGTGAGAGAGGTCCTAGGGAGTTTTGGTATAATATTACATAGCAAATGCTCAAAATCTTCTTGAAATATCGCCCGAAAATGATAGTGTTTCACACAAACAGAATGTATAAATTTACGACCTTGAACTTTGACCTTTTGACCTCAAAATCAATGGGGGTCTTCTTTAGACCACAGGGAGTTGATTTGTAAAATATCATTGCAAAAGCTCAAAGGGTTCTAGAGCTATCGTGTGGAAACGAAAGTGTTATAACAGAGAGAATTTGCTTATTTATGACCTTGACCTTTGACCTTTTGACCTCAAAATCAATAGGGGTCTTTTTTAGTCCATGGGGAGTTGCTATGCTAAATTTCATTGCAAAAGCTCAAAGGGTTCTCGAGATATCGTGTGGAAATGAAAGCGTTACAGACAGACAGAAAGACGGACGGACAAACCCAAATTAATATCCCCCACTTTTCAAGCGGGGGACAAAAATCAAGCAAAGCATGTGCAGAAGCATCTTGTCATAGGTAATGCACATGTCAAATATGAAAGCCCTGTGTCCTCTCAATCAAAAGTTATATGGAAAGATATACATGTATAATTTTTTTGAAAAATATGTCAAACTTTCAGGTTAAGGTGACGGGGTCAAAAATTAAAACGATATATTTAAAACAGTTTTGACACAGGTGATAAAACATGTATGTAATATAAAAGTCCCATCTTTTTGTCCCCCGCTTGAAAAGTGGGAGATATTAATTTGGGTCTGTCCGTCCGTCCGTCTTTCTGTCTGTCTGTAACGCTTTCGTTTCCACACGATATCTCAAGAACCCTTTGAGCTTTTGCAATAAAATTTTGCATAGCAACTCCCTATGGACTAAAAAAGACCCCTATTGATTTTGAGGTCAAAAGGTCAAAGGTCAAGGTCATAAATTCGCAAATTATGTCTGTTATAACACTTTCGTTTCCGAGCGATTTCTCGAGAACTCTTTAAGCTTTTGCACTGAAATTTTACATAACAACTCTCTGTGGCTTAAGGAAGACCCCTATTGATTTTGAGGTCAAAAGATCAAACTTCGAGGTCATAAATGTATACATTCTGTTTGTGTGTAACACTATCGTTTTCGGCCGATATTTCAAGAGGATGTTGAGCTTTTGCAATGTAATTTTATACCAAAAGTCCCTAGGACCTCTCTCACCCCTCTCAAAGTGCCCCGACCCGTTTGTTTTATTAGTATTGATTGTATTACATGTCGCTATTTTTAGCACAGGGGCATGAAAGAGAGTTGTTACGTATAAAACAGGTTCTCAGCGGACTTTATATTCTTATTACATCTATTAGAACTGTTTAATAAAGGTTGAATTAGACACCATGCATTGCGTTAAATTTTGACAATATATCGAACGTGAATATATACATGTATGTGACTTAAAATTTGTATATAATTTGCGCTGAGTTAACGCAGCTCCGTGGTCTAGTGGTATGTCTCTCGCTTCAAATAAAAGAAAAAAAACAAACTAATTCAGAGAATTCGTGTCCCCCGCTTAGGGAAAAAGTCGGCTCCCCCTGACTGAATTTGTAGAATTATTAAATGTATACATGTATACTGAAGCAAATAAAATACATGTATGTCAATATGCATATAAAGATTTGATTGCTTATTCTTCATTATGTGTATAGAAGATTTTTTTATATGGAGTTTTTATCACACTGTAACGATGATTTTATAACCTCATAAATTTAAAAAAAAAAAAGTATTAAAAAAAAAAAGAAAGGTCCGTCCGAGATTCGATCCCGGGACCGCTCACACTTGAAGCGAGAGACATATCCTCTAGACCACGGAATCGCTTACCATGGTGTGAAGTATATGCAGAATTGAAGTCACATACATGTATATACTCATGTTTTCATGTTCGGTATTCTCAAAATTTTACACAATCCATGGTGTTTGATTTATTTAACCTTTATTAAACAGTTCTAATAGATGTTATAAGAACATAAAGTCCGCCGAGAACCTGTTTTATACGCAATAACTCTCCTCATGCCCCTGCGCTAAAAATAGCGACATGTAGTACTATAAATACTAATAAAACAAACGGGGCGGGGCACTTTGAACGCTCCGGAAACTGAATTAGTCGCGAGATTTTTCTGGCCAAGCCCAGATCTATTTGTTTAGGTGGGTCCTCCCAAAACACGTTGCCATCCTGGGGTTTTTTTAGTTAAGGGTAGGATGAGAGGGGCGAGAGACGTCCTAGGGAGTTTTGATATAAAATTACATTGCATAAGCTCAAAATCTTCTTGAAATATCGCCCGGAAATAATAGTATTACACACAGACAGAAAGTATAAATTTACGACCTTGAACTTTGACCTTTTGACCTCAAAATCAATAGGGGTCTTCATTAGGCCACAGGGAGTTGTTATATAAAATTTCATTCCAATAGCTCAAATGGTTCTAGAGATATCGTGTGGAAACGAAATTGTTTTAACAGACAGAATTTGCTTATTTATGACCTTGACCTTTGACCTTTTGACCTCAAAATCAATAGGGGTCTTCTTTAGTCTACAGGGAGTTGCTATGCTACATTTCATTGCAAAAGCTCAAAGGGTTCTCGAGATATCGTGTGGAAACGAAAGCGTTACAGACAGACAGAAAGACGGACGGACGGACAGACGGACGGACAAACCCAAATTAATATCCCCCACTTTTCAAGCGGGGGACAAAAATTCCTGAGAGGGACATTAAACAAAATACATTGTACTATCAATCTTCAAGATGTTTAACGTCCCTCTAGAGAATTTATCTCTCATGAGATATTGCCACTGCCAGTGATGTTCCTGCCACGAGGGGATGCTCCGCTTAGCGGTGCCCTTATTGTAAATGTTTTATTTTATTTACATATTGATAGTTTATTTACTTGTATCAACAAAAACATTTGGTCACAGTATATTAACTTACATGTTTGAAAGCATTAACCTAAAAATCTAACTGTAATTTAATATTGTATATGTTAAAATGAATTTGAAATCTTTATTTTCAGGCATTAGAGAATAAAGAAGTCAAAAAGGAATCCCCAGACAGTATTTTCTTTCAGAAAGTTGTGAAGAGTGATATAAACTTAATACAGTCTGTATATTATCTGGCCAAGGCATGTGAAGTCCATAGCAAGTAAGATAACTCTTTCAGTCCTGTATTAAAACATCATATCTAGGATCAAATTTCAGTTTTAATAAAATTTTAAGTTTAAATGGTATTGGTCTTTTTGGAAAACACATCTTTTTCATATTTTAAAATTTTATTTCAGATATAACATTGCATCAGAGAAATACATTCATCTTATATCACTTATCAATGGCAGTGCAGTCTTAAAGGTAAGCATTACATACCAGAAATAATCTGAGTATAAAAAAGCCACTTTGAGTTGAAATCATTCACTACATATAAATTTCAACCATTCATTTAGTGAGCATTATTTTCTGCAGGGAACTTACTCTTTCATATGTTACACTCTCACCTGAACCAAAATGTCGATTTTCTAAAATATATGAAGATTAAACTAAAAAAACTAATAGAAGTGCTTATTGTTCTTAATCCTCTGTTCATACCTCAAGCTTGAAGTTTCCAAGTGAGAATTTAAGATCAATATTTCATTATTTTTACTGTTTCTTAATTTGATCTTTCAGGTGAATGGCTGTGAGATTGCCAGTGTTCCTTCAGTTTCTGAAATTTATAGGTGCACAATATTTTCTTTGCTAAAATCTAAGAAATACCAGCAGTGTGAAACTTTATGTAAACATGTATTGTCGTGCCAACCTTCGAGTGTCCTTGACCTCTCCAGCATCCTGTCACAACACTCTCAAGAACTCTCGCAAATGACCTCCACACAGCCTCAAAGTCGGCCAGGGACATTTGCTCTTCGGAACAATTTTTCGCAGTCAGTCTTAAAGGAAAACTCACTTGAAGAGAAGGAGGCTGAAGCGTCCCAAGGTAAAAGGAAGAGGTTGCCAACAGAGGAGGTCACTGACCTTGACCCTGAAGGTCAAACAGAGCTGGTCTTGGTTCACCTGTACAAAGCAGAGGCTCAGGTGTGTCTCAACAAGATTGGGGAAGCCATTGATAGTCTAGATACGTAAGTAATGTACTTGATGAATTTTCATTTATTACAATGTATTTGAAATGTCATTTTGAAGCATTTTTTTCTTCTTTTCTTCTTATACAAATATAAATGCTTATTGTTATTTTAAGATGGATTACCAACAAATATGTTTGTAGATGAATTTCTCCTGATTATATTGAATAAAAATAGAACTTTAATTTTATATGATTTGAATAATTCCCACTTTTAGTTGATGTGTAGAGGAAAAAAACACTTTAACAGCAACGTTTTAAATCTTTGACAGTGTCCTAGAGGTAATCAGAAATTCCTGTTCCTTTGGGACACCATTGTCAGCTAAGTCATCATCACAAGACACAAAAAGACAGAGGCTGAGTTCTGATGGTGCTGCCAGGCCAACATCTTCTGCAGATACAGCCTTATTTTGGGAAGAAGTAGGTCAGCAGGCATCTCATGTTTACTGTTGCTTGGGAACCTGTCTAGCTCGACAAAACAAGCTCACAGATGCTCTGCACTACCTCAGACTCAGTTTTCAACTTGATAAGGGTAAGATTTCACAGTTGTCAGTGACACAGATTTGTTCAACTGAATATGAGCACAGCTTTAGAATCACCAATTTTTGTTTGAATATCTCTTTTACTTTTTTTTTTTTTACTTAATGTATGTTTTTTTAGTATTGTTTATTTGTAAAGTGTTGTTTGAAAGAAAATCTCTATTGACAAATTGTTTAAGTTTTTTTTTTTTAAACATATATATGAATTATTTAGAAAGTGTATATGAAAATTAAAAAAAAAAAAGTAAAATGCTAATGCAAATTTTCCCCTGAAGGTAGTCTGAGGAGTTTATATAACTGCACAGCTGTGTTGTGGAGACTAGAGAGACAGAAGGAGGGGGCATTACTGTGGTGTAAGGGGAGACAACTTGACACACAGACTGACAGTTTCCAGATGGCAGCACTGATAAAACGTAAAAAGGCAACATTACAGTACGTCCAGCGATTTTGTTTATTTGTGTATTTCTTCACTCTTGTTTTTAAATATCTATAAAAGTGATTTTTATTTTGAGTCATGTGTTTAATATTTAATGAAGTCTGTCTTAAATGAATAAAATTAATTAAATATCTTTAAAAAGTATCTACTATTTTGAACCAAAGAAAGACTGACATTTCTTGATATAAGAATACTTTTGAAGTTTGTCGTAATGAATTCTTGGTGAAGTGAAAAAGATTTATTCAACATCTGAGGATTCTCAATACACTTTTTTAAAACTATTTTTTGCATCCTTATTTTTTATTTAACTTCAGTATTTGTACAGTAGAGTAGAAATTAGTGTACTACTACAGGTTTTGTGTTTTAAATATGGATGCTTTAAATAAAATTCTAGTGTAAAGAATGATTGATTATACACAGGATTTTTGAGAGCTGCAATTTTTCTTGTTGTCTAAAGGGATCCAGGGGGAAATGACCTTCCCTTTGAAGTCAAGGACAAAGTAACAGACCAGGAAGCGGTCCGTCTTGACGTCCGATCTCTAGAGTTCCTAATTCGCTGGAGGCGTGACAGCTGACCTGTGGTCAGATGGTGGATGAACTTTATGCTCCACTGATCTTGTAACAATCTAGTATGTCAGCCTTTCCTTGGTACAGTGTATGTCTGTACACAGAGTGACCAGTAGTTTTTTGTTGTTTTGTTTTTTGTTAAATACTGTTATTTTCTCAGACTGATTTTTATGCCTATTTTATCGATACATTTGTTACAGTTATAAAAATTGTTATATTCATATAAAAACACAGCAAATTTTTATAGTTGATATTTTCATGTGAGATTCATTAGGAAGACTCAAATTTGAAGAGTTGTGTATAATTATAAAGCAGAAGTAGTTGACTGAAACACTTATTTTGAATGGTGTAACTGCGGTGTTTTTATTTGTGTCAATTCTGTCCGGGTTTATGACACATTAATGAGGGGCTTTGTAGAAGTGGCGGGAGTTTCCCCCGGGATCTGACGATTGACGGATAAGTAGTGATAGTTATAGAGGGATTATAGCAGACAGCCGTCACGCTTCATTAGTTTTATAGGTACACACAGGTATCATCTACCTGATTTAATATCATAGGTAAACAGTTGAGCTAGAGTTTAACGATCAAAGCAGTCTTATAAAACACTGGCTTTTCTCACTACGCTGTACAATTAAAGTGTGAAATTAGATACCCTTACAAATTTCATTAGGTAGGACGCTAAAGATTTCCCTTTTGCTTATATTTTAATAGTGTACTAGTAGAAAAGTGTTATTTGTTTTGTGTAAATTAAAGGTATACCGTACAATGTTCAGGAATTTGTTCAGAGCAAATGTGTAGTATAAATCTCGGCTATTTTAGGTGATTGATTTCCTTGAATGGTTCCCTGGAAGGAAGTAGAAAAGGGAACAATAAGGATTATATAAAGTACACCTTCAGTTTTATCTTTTGTGACAGGTGTTAAAGGGAGTGGCCTCTTGATGACAACAGATTGTAAAAATAACTTTGTGTCCCCTCCCATCTGTTTCCTGGGATTATCGGGGTAGGGTCCTAACGTTCATTTCCCAACTGTATTTTCTTATATTGTGGACAATACTTGGTGTATCATAAATTTTAATTGTTTTAGAAATTAGCTGTATCATGTACAGTTACAGTTCTATACAGTTTCCTTAAAGTTGCACTATAGTACAAGATTTTATAGATTTAAGCTTCAGTTTATTGTGATCTATTACTATCTGTTTATCAGGAGTCGCTTGTGTTTTTGTAGGGCTTGTCATCGTGTGTAAGTGTTACTGATGACAAACATAAGTAATTCCGTATTGGTGGTTTTTAAAATCACTTATGACATAGTACAATGACTTTAAGTGGGTGACAGTAAGTTACGGATTGCCTTACTCATGTAACGGGGTTGTGTCATTTACAAAGAGAGTAGGGGTGTAGGCCCTGGGAAACTTTTCATATTTATTCACTTCCAGTTATATAAAGTTTAATTGTTATAAACTATCATCTGAAAAATGAGAAGCAAAATTAGGTTTTCCTCAAAGAAACGGAAAAATTCTCATAAATAAAGCACATTGAACCATTGCAACCCACATAAATAAAATTCTAGATCCGCCCGTTTTATCAGGGGACAAAATTCCACAGGTGGTTTGAACATGCACAAAGTAGATATAGCTTGTACTGCACTTGTCCTCAATACAGTGCGACAGTTGACGCATTGTGACGGTGTTTTACTACCCAGATAGCATGACTCCGTTGGGCCAACGTTGGTTTTTGGTTGTATGGTTGGTGGAGTGTTGGCGTTAGATGTAGGCCCAACGTTGGCAACGTTCATTTACGTTGGCATGAAAGCTACACCAACGGTGTTGGACATGTGATATTGGCCCAACGTTGGTCCAACGTTCATTTACGTTGGCATGAAAGCTATACCAAGGGTGTTGGGCATGTGATATTGGCCCAACGTTGGTCCAACGTTCATTTACGTTGGCATGAAAGCTAAACCAACGGTGTTGGGTATGTGATGTTGGCCCAATATTGGCCCATTGTAGTTACATGTTGACAAGAAACATAGCGATTTGGTGTTGGACATTAAGATGTTGGCCCAACATAGGTCCAACCGAGTAAATGTTGACATGGATTAAGACCATTGTGTGTTAAATATGAAATGTTGGCCCAACGTAGGTCTAACTGAGTACACGTTAGTGGCAAAACATTGCCACTTATTGTTGGTTATTCAATGTTGGCCCAACGTTGGCCCAGTTTAATAAATGTTGACAATATAATGATACATTGCTCTGTGTTGGGCGTGCTTGACTGTACTGGAGTTGGTCCAATAGTAGGAATATTGGGATTACTAGTACATGTACAGGTAGCCTGTAATGTTTGAGATGAAATGCTGGTCCAACGTTGGCCCAATGTTGCGAAAAGTATTCATCAATTTAGATTTATCTATTGTAAATCGATGGTAATGTAATAAGCAACTCATTATAAACATGTGATCTATATTATATATTGAATGGAAATTATGAGACAATCCTTATAAGTCTGTGAAATACATATAGTAATTTTATATCTTGGTAGATTCTATATTTAGCATCATTGAATCAAATTTAAAGTGCTGTGTTTTGCAAGTTTGGGGCTCCAAAATAAATAGGTCACTGGTGAAATTCACTGGCTCAGGTGATATAGGTCTCCAAGGGTCATCTTTAAATCAGTTTTTTTTGCACTTTAACAATTCAAAGCGTATGTGTCTGTTTAAGTGAAAGCAAGAATTTTAATCCTTTCAACGTAAGTATAGCTTTTGTTTTTGTTATTGAAATAATTAACAATGTGAAATACACAACATTGTAATGGCCTGCATGTAGGCTTTCAAATTATTGGTACCAGGTAGCTGATTAAACAATTGTTATTGATGACGACCTTAACTTTTATAGGAATTGGCGGGCTTGAACAGAGCAGATATGTCCGGATCTGTAAATGAACGCAAGAATGTTAACCAGTGAAATGTAAGTATTACTATTTTGTATTTGTTATTAATCATTACTAATGTGAAATTCAATTTTAAGGATTCTTTTAAAAATATGTGTGATGCTGATGAACATTTGAAAATACTATTTTAATTGATTCTTAACGTTTTGCCGGGTGGAAAAAAAGACTATTGATGTGGCATTTCTGTATATGGAAACTGATTTATATGTGTGGGAAACATTCTAAGAACAGATAAACAACAGAAAAAGTGATCAGTGATGCAAATATGTCCTTTCAAAAAAATTAGAAGAAGACTCTTATATCAAAGTGATATTTCGTAGTGGACATAGTGATGTGGAACTTGAGAAACATTGAAACCTCTTCCTTCTTTTAGTTACATTCCATGGAATACTTTAATGAAAGTGAAAGTGGCAAAGAATATATTGTGATACATTTTAGGAGGAAAAAAGTATTTGACCAAACATGGTGAAATTAATTGTGTCGTATAATCTGGGAAATAAAAATTACAGAATTTAATTAATTTTGTAAGACATTTGTATTGAGGAATAATTGTGTCATTGATATTTCAAGAATCAGCTTTGTATCAACATTGAACCAACGTAATAACTATATTTTGAACTGAGGTCCAATGTAGGGCCAACGTTACAAAATATATCGGTACGTTGGAATAGCGTTGTACCAACGTTGGCATTTCAACAAAAGCTGCAACTTGTCAACGTCATGATTATATTTTGAATGACAACGTTGGGCCAACGTTAAAAAAATATTGCGTTGGCGTTGGTATGTTGGAATAACGTTGTACCAACGTTGACAAATGAACAAACACTATTGTACCAACATTGGCCCAACATGTTGGGCCAACGGCGCGCCAATGAGCAGTAAGACATTGGGCCAACGTAAAACTGCCAACATTGGCCCAACATAACCGACATTGTTTGGCCAACGTTGGGCCAATGTTCTCATGCTATCTGGGTAGAGGTCTAGGTCCTCCCTACGATCAGCTGATTTTATCTGGTAGTGCTGAAGACCTTAGCTTAGTAAACAACTTATAGTAGATACTCAGGATAGGTCATATTGTTTCCTGTTGTATTCTTCCTAATCTCTATGCCAAGTCACATCTTGTTTAGAAGGGCGGGGATAGACTTGAGCAAACTGCATTAAACTGTTAAAAGGCGGAAAAAGTACATTTAATATATCTGAACTGAAGTAGCGCATTTGCCTGAGAGTTTCAAGGATACGAAGAAATGACAAGGGTGTCAAGAATCATTAATCTTTTCTCCTTGTCAATAAAAATATGAGCCACATAAAAATCGAATGTCGTCAGCTATAAATGGTTCGGGGGGATTTTATGCGTATGTATGTAGTTTTTTCACCAAACAGAACTGATAAATATCCATCACCATAATGTGACAGAAGACAGCACACAACGATTAAATTTTTTTCCGAAATAATTTAAATCCCGAAAGAAAATTAAATATTTCGGTCATTAACCTAGGTTAGTGAAAGAAAAATTATTTTATATATTTTGTAAATGTAAGTTTCAAGCCCCGAGACTTCGACATAAAGATTCTGTCGTGTTCTACGGAGGTATGAATTAAGTTAGGCGAATCTCTTTCATCTACAGGGTATAAGGAGCGATTATCGTGTAAATCTTCACGGCCTTACAAAACACACTTCTATCTCCTCCATACATCTACCCGGGCAACTTTTGAATTCCACACAATTAGCCAGTATCAAGTTCCGGCTCTTTACTGAGTACATCCCGAATACACATCTTTTGCTACGGCGGCTCGAAACAATTTTCAGCTAGGTTTCTTAGCAAATTGTGTTTGATACACCCCTCTTTAGTTTTTTTTAACCATTGCCACCTTGCCAAAGAAACCTATTCGAAGTTTTTATCGAATATTGTGCCAGAAAAGATTTGATAAGGGAATTCCTGGGGTACTGGAATGATTCCTCGTGTACATTTTCCGGTATATGGAAACGATCTTCATTTAAAGTTTATTTCTATTTCCTAGTGACCCATGCTTTATTCTACATAAATAGGGAGGGTGTACAAATTCCACTAAGAGGAGGGGGCATGGTAATTAATTGGACGAGCAAAATGGGGGGGGGAGTTATTTGTAAACATATATATTTAGAGACGGACGAAGAGAAATGGCTTATAATGAAGTGATATATACGATTTTAAAATGGATTAAAATAAATTTCTTATATTGATGTATCTTGGAACACATAAAGATTTGTCCTAATGTTAAGTGGTAAAATCTTTAAAATCCTTAATCCACCACTGATAAA